TCTCTCTGTGATAGCCTCTTCAATTTACCTCAGACACGGATTCCTTAAAAAGAAACATAATTGACAAGCCATACCTTAACATTCAACAAACTCCTGTCCCCTGCCCACCCCCCAAACTTCTTGAGTAAACCGAGAGAACAGCGTATGGGATGACTGCCACTGCTCTGGCTGTGGTACTAAGATCCCTCCAATGGATGGGCACAATCATTGCATGCTGTGCCTAGGGGAAGACCACAGAACAGGGTCTTGCCAGCACTGTTTAAAGTTTACACACCAAGCTAAGAAAAACAGAGCTGCCAAACTGAGGACTTGCTTATTAGAGAGATCCCTTACACCAATGATGGCACAATCATCGGGATCGCAGCACACACCGCCTCCCCCATCTGTGGAGTGGGGAGATTCGGTGCCTCAGGTGACCATTGCAGGCAAAGACCAAAAAGGTCAAAACTGACAAACCTCCTAAGAGAGGACCCAGCTCAGTACCGATGGGCTTGAAGCAGAAGGTCCCAAGGATGTCAGATGGTTCTAAACAGGCCACTGTCTCTAAACCACCGGAACAACAGCCACTGACGAAATCGGCAGTGGAGCTTATAATCCTGACAGGGCTGTCGACCAAAACACCGTCAGTGAGATATGTAAAGGCAATGTCAGATTCCATCTCTCAACAGCCAGCTCAAAAGCTTCCCTCAACTCCTATTCAGATGCAAATAATGACTGGATTGACACTATCTCTGTCCATACAGTCACTGCCGCTGCTAATGATCCTGGCAGAAGACAATCAGACTTCTGGGCATTCTTCAACTCTGAGATGCCATCAATTACACTCCCCTAGGGAGTGAGCAAGGGGAAGCTTGCACGACCAATCACCTCCGGTTTCCTGCTGCTCGGCAAGTGACTGCTCCCTGCATTATTATGATGAACGCAGACAGTGGAGCTCTAATGCAACTGTCCCAGAGCCAGCCTTTCATAACCACAGGTCAGATTGACATCAGTCTTACTATTATAGATCACGCTCCAGATCCTCATCGTGTTTGAGACGGCAGTCTTGATCCCGAACTCATAGAGAAGGATGCAAACTGTTGTTTTGCCAACACCATGTCTTCTTTTTGGATGACTCTGGCCGCCTGAAGTTTGTCATCTGGGAGGTAGGTAAGAAGTTCTGAGAACTGTTCCCAGAGAGTATACTGATATCGGTTCATACAGGCCAGGTAGTTAGAGGCCTTGACTCCTAACGCTCCTGTAGAGTAGAAGCACCTGCCGAAGGCATCCAGTTTCTTACCCTCCTTATCTGAAGAAGCGGAATGCGTTCTTCTAGATTTGGAGGAGGATGTTATCACCATTGAGTTAGGTTGTGGGTGAGAGAAGAGGAATTCGGCATCTGACTCTTGGACTCTATACATGTGATCCAATCGCCCTGTGGACACAGGAGCAGACGAAGGTTTTAGCCATGGTAATTTTGCTGCCTGCAGTAGTACTGAGGACATGGGCAATGCCAAGGTGGACGAGGTATCGAGCTGAACTGTGTCGTAAACAAAATCTGTCGCCTGCGGATGTTGCTGGACGACAGAGAGACCTAAAGAGTGGGCCATTCTTTTGACTAGATCAGTGTAAGAGGTAAGGTTGTCCGATGGAGATACAGGTAAGTCCTCCGCAACATCTTGGTTGGGAGATGTATGGTCAGGAGAGGTATGAGCCTCAGAAGCCTCTGTATCTGAGTCCTCTTCCATGAAGTCTTGTTGTGGTGTGTGGACCGAAATGTCCTGTTGAGAAGGTACTGGTTTCGGTTGGACGACAGGACCGACAGGGTTTGGAGTGACCGGAGTATTGAGTGGACGACTTGGTTCCAGGGTATGGTGGGACGGATCGACTATAGGAGGATGCGACAGAGATGCTGAAGGTCTCGACTTGTGTGGGGATCTCGACCTGTGAATGGAGTGGGTCAACTAGCGATCCCAATCAGAATAGCCCGCTGGAGTCAACCACGGCATGGACGGTGGATAAGCCCCATAGAGGTACCTCAACTGTCGTTGATCCCACGACATTGGTGGTGGGGGAGGTAGGAAGACTCTGGGGGAGCCGCTTCTGGACCGTGGACGTCTGGGAGACAAGGCAGTAGCTTGTCTGTGGGAATTGTCCCTGTAATGTCGGCTGTCAATATCGACGGATTGAGTGTGCAGACGTGAAGGGTGACGCTGCGTGTCACATGAGGTATATCGGTGCCGACGTGGATCGATGTCGGGAGCTTCCGATACCGTCGATGTCGACGACAGGGAAGGATACAGAGAACACTCTGCATCCATCTGATGTCTTAGGAGCTCTACCATTTCAATGTCGGAGTAAGGAGGCTCCATTTGCTGGACAGGGGAGTCCAATACATGGATGGTCGGTATCGCTGGAGGGACTTGGGCCTCCGATATCAATACTGCCGTTGGAGCGGGAGGCACTATAGGGGCATCACCCAGGGCCGGTACCACTTCCTTCCCCTTCTTCGCCGCCTTAAGGGACTTGGAGGTGCCCTTCTTCGCGGACTTATGCTCTGCACTTGCCTTAGGCTTCTTTTTGATTGGCATGGAGGCAGATGATCGTGCCTTCGATGTTGAGGGCTTCGGTGTCGGGCGGTTGACATCGGAGGCAGGCCTCGATGCCAGAGCTGTCGATGTAGATGGTCTCTCCTCCATCGCTGAGGCAGGAGCAAGGGCCGACTCAAGTAGCGCCACTTTAAGGCGTGCAGTGCGTTTTTTTCTCATTTGGTTAGAGAAACGCGCACAGTGACGACAGGACTCTGGCTTGTTAGACTCTCCGAGGCAAAAAATGCAGAGGGTATGACGGTCGGGAGGAGCAAGTTTGCTACCACAACGTTTGCATCTATTGAAAAATCCCCACTTCTTCTCCATAAAGAAGTGCAGTGGAGGGAACGGTTTGGGGGGGGGGGGTAGCCTGAAGGCCTAAGGTAAATTCCCCTCAGAAGAAATTAAAGTCTTTTTAAAAAAAAGTTTTTTGAAGAACAAACCACTAAAAAAGAAAAATAAAGTATGGAAATAATTCCGAAGAGCTGTGAGGCAAAAGCGAACAGTGAACCAATCAGACCGACGAAGAAAGAGGTCTTTCCAACACGGCGGTAAGAAAGGAACTGGTGGGATGTCTGTGTCCACCCCTCTGGGCATGCGCGGTGGGGTTCCTGCGCATGCCCGAGGGACTGGGCGCGAAAATCCGTTAAAAGAGCTTGCTACAGCACCGATTGATCCAGCGCGTGCGCACTAGATCCCATTGGTGTGAAGCACAGAGACCACGTCGAAGATCCTGTCCCCTGAAAAGTGGAAGTCTTATTCAGACTGCCCCCCCCCAGCTCTTGAGATTTCCCTCAGATGCTACCCACAGGCTGTCAAGTGTATTTTGCTTTAAAAAAAGAAAGAAAGTTGGGTTTCTTTAGGAAGCTGGATTTTGCCAGCAGAAACAGCTTCTGCAGCTTTCCAGTGTTTTTGCAGAACTGCGCCGACCTGCACATGAGGGAGCGGAGAAGAGACAGCAGAGCTTACCATGTGTTCCCTGTCTCATAGCCCTGTGGCCCAAAGGTGCTGTAAGAGCCATCGGGGTGCTTGTAGTTCAGCTGCCGCTGGTAGCCTGAAACGGAAGTCATACTGTTCATGCAGGGTAACGCCCCCTTGTGCCAGACGTTGCTGGCTTTAATACTGAGCAGAAAAAGGGGATGTGCAGAACCCCCCAGTTCCCTTCTGGATTTGTTGTGGCAAACTGAAGCAAAACCCACTGATCTACCCCAAAAAAATCTGAAATAGAGTGAGAATTGACAATACCGTCATACAACAGACATCCACCACTTTCCCCTATTATATGCTTGTAAATTATACGAAACATACACTCAAATATGCAAGGGAAACTGAACTCAGTAACACTGTAAGCTAGTGTGAAGTGTCTGGAATACTGCAGTGAAAGAATCAAGAGAGTATCTTGTTGGGTACATGAGAAACTGAAAGTTAAAACACTTGTGACAGTAGCTGGAAACTGCAGAGTTCAGGGAATGTTATGCCTACATTTGATGATGTCACGACCTGGTGTTCAGGCTTTCCATATATAGGGGGTGGTGGCAATGCTCCCCTCCATCTGTGAATGGCTGCTATAGGCTCCTGGTTTTCTCATGCGCCACTTCTCAACTATGGACTCCTACTTAGGTGCAAGCTCTGATGAACTCAGCAAGGTTTACTTTTAAGCAAATACGCACAGAACCCGGCTGCATAGATTTGACTGATTAAGCTACCGATGGAGCAGATCTCATAGGCAGCACCATCCATCAATCATCGATCCCAAGGGTCCCCAAAGTGGCGCCCAGGCGGGGCTTTTGCCCAGCAAGGCTTCTGATTGGACACTGGAGATCTGATGGGCTGTGCCTCTGACGGGAACCCTCACATTGTTTCTCAAGGAGCTAGGTGTCTCCTGGCCCCAGGAACTGACTGTTCGTAACCTTGGGATGACTCTCTTTCCTCAACTTTTTAAAACTTTATGATTTGTTATTTGTGTTACCCCTTGATGATGTGAGAGATCTGTTTATGTAATTCGTAACAAATGCCTGATAAAGGTTTTTGATTTGATTGGCTTTGCAGATTAAAAAGAAATGTTGCCTTGACAGCAGCTGCCACCACAGCACAAGGATCACAGAATCATAGAGTCAGAAGGGACCTCCAGGGTCATCTAGTCCAACCCCCTGCACAAGGCAGGAAATTAACAAATGCTGCCCCACCCCCACCCCCAGTGACCCCTGCTCTATGCCCAGAAGAGGGCAACCCCCCCGATCCCCGGGCGAACTGGCCTGGAGAAAAATGGCTTCCATCCTGACCCCAAAGTGACGATCGGCATTTCCTTGGGTGTGTAAGAAAGGGCCATGAGAACGAAGCACTGAAGCGACCCTTCCTGCCCTCCCTACTCGTGATTTGCCTGAGTTCACAGAATCAACATGGCTGTCAGAAGGCCATCTAGCCTCTGTTTGAAAACCTCCAGAGAAGCAGAGCCCACCACCTCTGGAGGAAGCCAGTCCCACTGAGGAACTGCTCTAACTGTCAGGAAGTTCTTCCTAATGTTTAGCCAAAACTGTGTGCCTGGAAATATGCTGTGGCTTCACCTCCTGTGGCAGCCATTTTGTAACCATGACCACCACACTGCCAGAATTCCCAAAGGTGCCTGCAGGCTGAAAAAAAGGTGGGGACCCCTCAGGTAACAAGCAGAGTCCGAGAGTCTTCTCACCAGAGACGAGGAAGCCGATGGCCTTGGAGCGGGTCTCCTCCGTTAGCTGCTCTGTCTTGTTGAGGTAGTCCAGGATGTAGATGTTGGGCGCAAAGAGGACCATGTTCTGTTCCCCACAGCCGTAGGGAAGCCGGAGGAGGTGCTGCAGGTTCTGAATGGCCGAACCCAGGATGTCACCTTGAAGGGGAAGAAGAGGACACAGGATCAAGGCCGTGGTGAAGGGAGAAATGCTGTGGGAGGCGAGCAAAAAGAAGAACCACAGAATGAAGCGGAACGAGTGAGCCAGAAAAAGAAGGAATGGGATGGATGGAGTTACTAAAGACAGAGAGGAGAAGGTAAGAAAAACGCATCCTGAGAGAATGGTGAGATAGGGCAGAAATGGGCACCAACGAGAATACATAAAATCAGAGGTGGACTCTTCTGGGAGTTTCAGGCCTGTAGCTATAGTGGGGCATTTCAGGGCTCTGCCCCCTGAAATGTGAGAATGCTTCTCTTCCCCCTCCCCCCTCCTGTGACATTAAAAGGCACGTGGCCCATTGATCAGCTGGAGAGCCCTTTAAATCTTGCAGCCCACCCCATCTCCCTCCCGTCCCTTTAAATGTTGTTTTTCGGGGGGGCTACCCACACCTGATCTCCAAGCGGCAAAATTGCTACTTGGAGTTCAGGGAAGGCATGCGGCCACCCCCCACCCCTGTTGCCCCACCAACCCAAAATTTATGGCTACAGGGATGGATATGTGACTGGACATTTCAGTGGCCCCAGAGATTCCATTTCTGAATGCTATGCAAAGTTACACCTGACTAAGCCTAGTGAAATGACTAGGCTTGCAGCTTAGACAGGAGTAATTCTCCATAGCACTGTACTGTGAAAGTCTTCTTTCCTGGGAGTAAGCCCGATTGAATAGACCTGGGGTTCTTCCACATTCTCATTTTCCTTGCTTGTGTGTGTCCCTTATTCCTTAGGGCAGGGGTGTCAAATATGTGGCCCGGGGGCCAGATCAGGCCCCTGGAGGGCTTCTATCAGACCTACAGTGGAACTGGCTGTCTTCTGATGCTTCTTCCAGTTCTGCTGCTGCTGCGTCATCATAGGTCTGCAGCTTACAGATACACACCTGAACAGCATACTCAAGATTGCAAAAGCACAGACATTTTGATGCAATAATTCAGAGCAAGAGGTGTCAGTTATTGGACACTGTTAAATAAACAAAATATTGCAAGAGTGCTAATGTTTTAAGCATGTTTTTATTTTAAGTTTAAAAAAAACCTTTGTGTTTGTGTCCTTTATAAAGTTTATATCTTCGCTACCTGGCATGACATTTTATGACACACGTGGCCCAGCCCCACAAGGTCTCATTTATGTCAAATCCGGCCCTCATAACAAATGAGTTTGACAACCCTGGCTTAGGGTTTCCCCCCCTTTTCTACATGTGTTTTACTGCCTCTAGTGGTCGATTCAACATTACATCACTACACGTTCGACATATCTCCCTGTAGATTTAAACCACAAGTTTTTATGCGGGATTTTCAGTAATATAATATAGAGTCAAGCAGTAGAGGGAGCAAAACACGTCTGCCTGTGCTCTGGAGGATTATTTGCAAAGAAAAGTAAAGAGTGTGGTTGGAGGGAGCTAAATCCTGCCCCCCCCCAGTACCTGAAGCATTTCCCCCTCCCCCTCAGTCAGGCTTCAATTAGCCCAATGAGGAGGGAAATGCTTCAAGTTTTGGGTCGTGACATAAACTGCATGTCAAGGGTGGGGGGTGGGGGTGGAATGGAACCAGATTTAGCATCTTTTACCAACATGCTCCAATTTTCTTCAAAAGTAGAATCCACACATAAAGACTCTGGGAAGGGAGAACAAAACTCACTCATATGCCACTTCACTCCTCTCTGCAGGAGCGAAAGTATCAATTACACCATGGTTCATGCCCTTTTAACATCTCGATTAGATCACTGCAATTCGCTTCTACATGGGGCGCCCTTGAAAAGTGTTCAGAAACTTCAACTGGTGCAGAATGCTGAAGCTGGAATGTTGAGGAGAGTGAGTTGTAGGGACTATATCACTTAGGGTTGCCAGACCCCTGGTAGAGGTGGGGGTCCCCCACTGCCAGGCCCCACTACACCGCCGCCAATCAGCTGGGTGGCAGGGAGGAACTTACCCTGAAAAAGAGGGAGGCCCAGCCAACATGCAGTGATGTGTTTATATTACTGCCCATGTGACCAGGAAGTGACATCATCACCTCAGGCATGGTAGGGCAATGGCCTGGTATTTGGGCACTCTATAACAGAAGCCAAATTTATCATAGAGTTTTTGCCCAAATACCAGAGCGTCGCCTCACATCCCCAACATGATGATGTCACTTCCATGATGATGCCCCAACATGATGATGTCACTTCCAAATTCCAGATGGGTAGCGATATGGGCATGTATGATGGAATGTACTTTTTAGGAGGCTTAGAAGTGCTGTACCAACAACTAAAGGACTGTGAAGGGTTAATTCCTCACAGTGCCAGAGAGCCTTGAGTGGCACGCTGCTTTAGGCAATCAGATTGGTTGGCATCAGCTGAGCAAAAAAAGTCTTTTGAGAGCTGGATGCTGAGAGGTGTCAGTCAGATTCCTGCCTTAACTGAGAAGAGACATGTACCGAAAGCATCTGAGACTAGCCCTGACAGAAATAGGGTTTAGTGCTGACAGAGTCAGATTCCAGTATTGACTGAATGCAGTCTGAATTCAGCAGGGACTGAGAGCAGTTTGAACACAGATGGAGAACTGGGGAAGAATTTGGCAAGGAAGTTTGGGTAGTAGTAGAAGACTCCCATTCAGGCCAAGGGCAAAGGGATGGATCTTCTAGAGAGAGAAGAATCCCTACCCAGTCAATCAGGGAGAGTTATCTCTGAGGAGTTTAGGGATCCCTGGTCTTGTGTGATTGGAAACTGCTTGTGGAGACTTTAAAAGTCAGTTAACAACTCATCACGAGTACTGGTGTTTCAAGAGAAGGGGTTTGGGCACTGGAAATAGGGTACCAGCCTTCTAGGCATCAAAAGAGTCAGCAATTATACAAATAGTGTATTAGAGTGTTTGGGAAAACACTGGAACAAAAGCCTCTAAACATAAAGATCTAAGTAACTGTGAATATCTCTCATTAGTCTGATATATCAAAACAAAAGTTTGTGCTTGCACTAATTTTACCTCAGTAATTTCAATCCCTGATTTCACCTGACCTTTCCCCTTGATGTTAAGTAAAACCTTTTGTTATTTTTGAATTTTAAAAGCGTCTCCAGTGCCATTTCCTGTGGTTTAAGTTAAAGGGTGATCCTATCCCTTCACTCAGGTTCCTAGGCTGAGCAAATAGCCAATATATATTACTGACACAGGGTGGGGCAGGCAAAGTTTCTTTAGGGGAGAAGTAAACACGTTACCAGAGCTGCTCAGTCAGTGAAGGGACACAGAAATGGAGGGAAAATCTTGCCTCTGAGGGAGGGAAGTGGACGGGGCCATCATAGCATGTTTCTGCAATGTCGGATGGGCCTCCCTCCTGCTCCCAGTAAACCCACCCATCCCCTGTTGGTTGCCAGGAGGAACCTGGCAACCCTAATGTCACTCCATTCTAGGCCCATCTACACTGACTTCTAATTTGTTTCCAAGCTGTTGATATTTAAAGCAGGATACTTGTTCCTGCCTGTTCCTTTATGAACCTTACCCAGTCACCTTATAGAGGCTTACTTCAGGTACCCCCACATTCTGAGATCAGATGTGTAGCAACTGCCTTTTTTGTTGTGGCACCAAGCTTATGGAGCTCTCTTCCCTTGATATTTGTGTGTCTCCTGTTATCACCATCTTCTGCCAGCGGGTGAAGACTTTTCTGTTCTGCCTGGCATTCCCTCAATGACTCCTCCTTCCTGCCTTGTGTTTTAATTTTCTGTTTGCAGTATATTATTTTAGTTCTGGTTTTAACTGTTTTTATGCTGTATTTTTAATTACATTTGGTCTAATTGTTTATCTCCCTTGGTGACCCTGACTGGGCACAAAAGTGGAACATAAATATTGTAAATAAAAACAAAAACAAATAAACTTACCGAGCACACAGAAATAGGCCCTGGCTGAGCCCTCCACTACATTTTCTGGGACCTTCAGGGAAAGGGGAGTGGCCTTTTTCTCTCCTGCACGCAAAACAGAGAAAGAGAGAGAGTGAGAGATCTTTGCCTGTTGCCTTCCGCCGTCTGATTTCCCTGTTCCCCACTCAGCCCCTATTCCCTCCAATGGATGAATGCGTTTCTAAGCCTGACCCTCCTCCATCATTTCTTCCCTTCCGGTCCTCTGCATCCAACACTTGCCTGGGCTTTCTCCAACAGGATGAAAAAGTTAAAAAAAAAATCCCATCAGTGTGAAGATTCAAGTCTCACCCAGAGAACATCCATTACATTGCTATTTTTAGTTTTTGATCAACTCATCATGAGCTGACTCTTCCGGGCAATTCTGGAATGGTGAAATGAGCTCCGAAGTGTAAGGGGTTAGAGGAATCAGGTGGATCTTCGACGTGGTCTCTGTGCTTCACACCCATGGGAAACAGTGCACCTGCGCTGGATCGATCGGTATTGTAGCACACTCTAATGGATTTTCGCACCCAGACCTCAGGCATGCACAGGAACCCCACCATGCATGCCCAGAGGGGTGGGCACAGACATCCTGCCAGTTCCTTTCTTTCTGCTGTGTTGGAAGCACCTTCTTTTCGTTGGTCAGATGGGTAGCTATTTTTCCTCAGAAGCTGTTCGGATTTCCCTTTAGTTTTTCTTTACCTTTTCACTTTTACCTTTGCTTATTTATTGTTTTCTTTAAAAAAAGAGAGAGAGAGAGAGAGAGAGAGAGACTTTGTTTAGTTGAGGGGTGAAGTTTTTCTTTTTACCTCAGTTTGGCCTTCAGCCCCCTTCCCCCCCACCTCTTTTTTCTTCTCCACTCTTTTATTTTATGGAGAAGAAGTGGGGCTTTTTCAAACGTTGCAAGGGTTGCGGCAGTAAGCTCGCTCCACCTGACGGCCACACCCTTTGCATTTTTTGTCTTGGCGAGACACACTGGCCAGAGTCCTGTCGACACTGTGCCAAGTTTTCAAATCAAACCAGGAAGAACCAAGCAGCACGTCTCCGGGTAGCGTTACTGGAATCGGCGCTAAACCCCACTTCTGTCATGGATCTAAAAGTACCAGTAAGACCATCGACATCAACGGCTCCGGTTTCGAAGTCCTCGTCCGACATCGTCCAGTCAACATCGAAGCGTCCGGCACCAACGGCGCAGTCTTCGGCGTCCACTCCCGTGAAAAAGAAGGAGAAATCGGGTAAAGAGCACAATTCTGCCAAAAAGGGCTCCTCTAAGGCCCTAAAGGCAGCGAAGTCTGCAAAGGTCTGGGGTCCTGCACCGGGTAATGCCCCTAAGGTGCCCCCCGCTCCAACAACAGTATTGGCATTGGAGGCTCCAGTCACTCCACCGATACCGACCATCCAGCTGATGGATTCTCCAGTACACCAGCTAGACCACGACACGCTGGTCAATATGCGTCCCTTCTCCGACATAGATAATGTTGAGATCCTCAGTCGTCCCCCGGGCATGGAGCGCTCTCCCTCTTCTCAGTCATTGACAGTCTCGGAGTTTCATGCCGATATCAATCCAGGTCAGCATTGACAGATCCCTCCAAACACTCAATGTCATCCTCCCCATCTGTTTGCCAAGGATCAGCCTTTCGATATCGATGATGGGGCTAATAGGGGCCGCTCACAGAGACAAGATGCTACACTATCTCCCAGATGCTCCCACTCTAGGAGTAGATCCCCACGAGTCTTCCTGCCCCCACCACCTCCTCCTCTTTCCTGGGATCACCGCCAATGACATTATCTCTATGGGGCTTATCCACCCGCATCCATGCCATGGTTGACTCCAGCAGGTTACTCTGATTGGGATCGTTACTCTGCTCACAGGTCACGGTCACCCCATAGATCGAGGCCCTCAGCATCTCTTTCCCGTCCTCCGGATCATCCACCTGATGACCCTTCTCGACATCGACTGGATCAATATTGTCCTCCCAGTCCCCCTATCCCACCGTCAACAGATCCAACCAGTCAGATCAAAACTACTCCAGTACAATTACCAGAGCCCAATTCCTCTGACTCTGCGGATGAGGATTCTGATACGGGGGCTTCAGATGTACACAGCTCCCCTGACCAGCCTTCTCCAAACCAGACAGTAGCCGATGACCAACCTAAATCTCCATCTGAAAATTTAACTTCCTACGGAGACCTCGTGAAAAGAATGGCCCACTCCCTTGGCCTTTCAGTCGTACAACCACAACCATAGGTTACAGATGCCGTTTTCGATGTGGTACAACTAGATACATTGACGGCTATAGCACTACCCATGTCCACGGTCCTTTTACAGGCAGCTAAAGCACCATGGGATAAACCGTCATCAGCTCCAGTGTCCACACGTCGCTTGGACCATATGTACAGAGTCCAAGAAACAGGAGCAGAATTCTTATTTGCCCATCCTCAACCAAATTCAATGGTAGTTACTTCCTCATCCAAGTCAAAGAGAACCCATTCTGCCCCTTCAGACAGGGAGAGCAGAAAGCTAGATGCATTCGGACGACGTTTCTACTCTACTGGAGCACTAGGGGTAAAGACCACCAACTACTTAGCATGTATGAGTAGATACCAATACACTTTGTGGGAGAGGCTCTCCGAGCTCTTGGCAAACCTTCCAGAAGATAAGCGTCAGGCAGCCCGCATCATCCAAAAGGAGGGCATGGTGCTGGCAAAACAACAAATTAATACTGCCAAACATGCCCTAGACACCTGCTCAAGGACAATGGCTTCAGCCATAGCTCTCCGAAGACATTCCTGGCTACGTAACACTAATCTACAACCAGATACTAGATCATACATAGAGGACCTTTCCTTCGATGGCCTTGGTCTCTTTAATAGTACCACAGACACCATATTACAAGATATGGATAAAAGCATAAGAGCTTCTCATGCTCTGGACGTTTCTTCATCCACGAGGCAGCAATACCGGCCTCGTCCCTGGTCTAGACCCTGGCAAAAACGTACCCCAAATCGTCAGTCTCCTGACTGGCAATGGAGGCCACGTAATCCTCTGGAGGCCAGAAGCCCACGTTTCAGAAACCTAGATTCGGATCGGGACAACAATCCTCCCGCAGTAAGCAGGCAAAGTCTGCCAAGCAGGGTTTTTGACTTCCATGTCTTCCAGTCACATCCCACCCGTCTAACCCCCTTCCTCCAAACTTGGTGCCTCATCACCACAGACGAATGGGTGCTGTCCATATTGACCCAGGGTTACAGCATAGAATTTATTCAGAACCCTATTACTCCTGTCTTTGTCTCCACACCCCCTTCTCCAGCACTTCTGGAAGAAGTGTCCGTCCTTCTGCACAAGGGAGCCATCGAGCCGGTGCCACTGCATCTACAGGGCAGGGGATTCTATTCCTGCTATTTCACCATTCCAAAGCGGGATGGAGGCGTTCGACTAATCTTAGATCTAAGGGCACTAAACTGCTTTGTGAGCTACCACCGCTTCTGCATGGTGTCCTTGCAGCAGATTCTGCCACTTCTCCAGAAGAACGTCTGGATGGCCACCCTCGACCTCCAGGACGCATACTTCAACCTCACCATCCACCCGTCCCACCGCCAATACCTATGCTTCGCAATGGGTCAACATCACTACCAATATGCAGCTCTGCCATTCGGCCTTTCAAGTGCACCGAGAGTCTTCACAAAGACGATGATGGTGGTCGCAGCCTTCCTTCGTCTCAAGGGTATCTCCATCTACCCATGCTTTGACGATTGGCTCTTGGTTGCGACTTCCAGGGACGCCCTGGTCTCAAACATCAACGAGACGCTAGCCCTCCTGGGAAACTTGGGTCTGCAAGTAAATCTGGTGAAGTCTCAACTTCAACCGGTTCAGAAAATACACTACATCGGTGCGCTACTAGACTCCACAAATTGCACAGCCTACCTGCCACAAAACAGAGCCGCAGACATCGTCAATCTAGCCACTGTCCTGCATACTCAGCCTTCAGTGACATCCTTCCAAATACAAAGGCTACTCAGCCTCATGGCTGCTACTACATCAGTCCTGGTTTTTGCCAAGTTGAAAATGCGCCACCTGCAACTCTGGTTTATCCACAATTTCAATCCAGAGTGAGACACACACTCGACCCACTTATCCCCACCTGTCAAAGTACGGGACTCTTTACTTTGGTGGACCGCCCCTTACAACCTTCTCTAGGGAGCACCCTTCCATCCTCCATCACCTCAAATTACCCTAACTACAGATGCCTCCCTGTTGGGCTGGGCCGCCCACATGATGGGACTTTCTGTCGGAGGCAGATGGGACACACAGAAACGGAATTGGCACATCAATTTTCTGGAACTGCTTACGATACGGTTCACTGTCACCAGTTTCCTGCCCCTGATCAAGGGGAAGTGTGTCACGGTCCTCACGGACAATACTACTGCCCTCAGCTATGTAAGCAAGCAGGGGGGCACTGTCTCCCAACGCCTCTGCAACCTCGCCATCCGGTTATGGGACTTCTGTATCGCCCACAACGTCTTCATAGTCGCCACGCACATTCCAGGGCACATGAATGTGCAGGCGGACCACCTGAGTCGGGCAGGACTCAGTCTGCACGAGTGGGAAATGAATCCGATTTAGCTTCTTCCATTCTTCCACAAGTGGAGGTTGCCCCAGATAGATGTTTTCGCCACCAGGGCGAACAAAAAGTGTCCTCTGTTCTGCAGCTGAGATGGCAGGGACCCGCAGTCTTTAAGGGACGGTCTCCTCTACCCGTGGTCCAGAGAATTTCTCTTCCTCTTCCCTCCACTGCCTCAGCGACAGAGCGGACTGCATCCTCATAACCCCGTGGTGGCCAAGGCAACCATGGTTCGCAACCATCCTCAATCTGTCAGAGGGGAACTACCACCAGTTTCCTCCGGCACAAGATCTTCTGTTCCTAACTGAGTCCCCTCTCCTATACCACGACATGTCACAAATGAAGTTGACAGCCTGGAGAGTGCGTCAACAGCTTTTCCACCCGCATAGCAAATGTTTTGCTAAACTCCAGAAAGTCCACTATATGAAAGTCTTATCATTACAAGTGGCTAAGGTTTTGTTCCTCCTTGGGTGAGGATGCCCCTCGAGCCACCTCCGCAGGTCTTGAGAAGGTTTTTTAATTCCTCCTGTCTCTTGCTGACTCAGGACTGTCACATTCCTCGTTAAAGGTTTATTTGGCTGCACTTTCGGCATACCATGTTCAAGTTGAAGGATGCACACTGTTCTCACATCCCCTTTCTAAACATTTTTTGAAGGGTTACACCTCTACCCTCCCGTCAAAAGTCCTGTCGTCCCCTGGGACCTTCCCTTGGTCCTTCATCAACTCACCAGGAAACCTTTTGAGCCGCTCGCAACTTGCGACCTAAAATTCTTGCCTTTCTGGTTGCTGTCACTTCAGCAAGGCGAGTTGGAGAAATACTGGCTTTCAGACATGACACTCCCTACTTGTCTTTTTTGCCAGACGGCGTCTGCCTCGTACCTGACATCTCGTTCTTGCCAAAGGTAGTGTCAGAATTTCACCTACAGGCAGAGGTCTTCCTCCCGGATTTCTTCCCGGCGCCAACATCCTCAGAGGAGAGGCTGTTACATACCTTGGATACGAAACATGCGCTTCTGTTCTATTTAAACAGAACCCATCCAACGAGACGTGACTCTCAACTTTTCGTCTTCTATGCGCCAGCAAGGCTGGGAACTCGCATCACGGCTCAACGCCTATCAAGGTGGATTGTGGGTCTCATCCGCCTCTGCTACCTTATCGCCAAGCAGCCATTGCCTGGCCCTATTGGGGCTCATTCAACCAGAGCTGTTGCAGCCTCAACTGCCTTCCTTCAGGGAGTTTCCCTGATGGACGTTTGCGGAGCCGCTACATGGGCTACGCCAAACACCTTCATAAGGCACTACGCCCTAGACGTCCGTAAGAACTCTCATACCAACATGGGACGTCACATCTTATCCTCGGCTTCGCAGTAAGGACCTGCCAGCACCCTCCTCCAGGTAGGCCACTGCTCGCTAATCTCCCATGGGTGTGAAGCACAGAGACCACGTCGAAGATAAACAGGTTGCTTACCTGTAACTGGTGATCTTCGAGTGGTCATCTGTGCATTCACACCACCCGCCCTCCTTCCCCGCTGCTGTCAGCTTCTACATTTTTCATAGGGGTTGATTTGTGGTGGTTTAAAGGAACTGGTGGGATGTCTGCGCCCACCCCTCTGGGCATGCGTGGTGGGGTTCCTGCGCATGCCTGTGGTCTGGGCGCGAAAATCCATCAGAACTTGCTACAATACCGATCGATCCAGCACAGGCACACTGTATCCCATGGGTGTGAATGCTCAGAGGACCACTCAAAGATCACCAGTTACAGGTAAGCAACCTGTTTTTCTGCTGTGTAAAGCTTTTTGGGGAATGCAGATTGAAATCTGTTTGGTACAACCAGAACTCTGGGCTAGGCTGCAGAAACCAGAATGATTCCTCAGTCCATTCTAGGTGTGTACAGAATCTTTGTGCATGGCTGATCTGGGGAATGCACAGTGAGGGCCCGAAGTGGGCCAGGGATCTCCTGGGGCTACTCTTGGATGCAGCTGAGGTGGTCTTCTAATGACCAGTATGGCTAAAGGGCAGTGGGTTCATCATAGGGTCTCACCCTTCTGGTGGCACCCGGAGATCTTCTGCTATTACAAATGATCTCCAGATGATCAAGTTCAGTTCCCTGGATTCTGTCAGTGTGGAATTCAGCACGGCCCCAGTGGAAGGTTGTATCTGCGTGACTTGTTCACACGTGGCATGGTCAGGAAGCCACAGGAGCCACAGTTCTGTGAGGGAGGCTAGAAAACAGGCAGAATTCTCAGTGCTTTCCTGAGACTGTCGTCTCACGATTGTCTGAGGGAAATCATGATTGCGATAACAGCATAGTGCAGGGAGTCCCCAACATGGCGCAGGAGGGTGCCGTGCTACCTGCCTGCCAACATCTTTCCTGGTGCCCAGGGGCTTTGAGAAAGTGGGCGGGGCTGGGGGGGGCTTTTGCCCAGCAGGACTTCTGATTGGCTGTGCAGAAATTTGGTAATGCACAGTTTGCAGTGATTTGTCTCGTCTACATAGATTTGTCTAAAGCCTGGATCCTGAGACTGCGACTCATCTAATTCGGGAAAGTGGTAGAAAAACGCCTCTCCAATCTAGGTCTGGCTCAGGACACGGTGAGCAGCTGTCCAGGCAAGTCTCAGAGCATTGAAAAGGTTGCTTCGTTAAGTCCACAACAGCCCAAAGAAAGGTCACTGTGCCGAAGCACCAGATTAGGCGGACCTGCGCCTGGATCCCTCACCTAGAGGGAAGGTTCCTGGCTCTCGTAATCCTGCACAAACGGGGGCACTTACCAGCTCCGCAGACCAAGGAGCTGAAGACCACCTCCTTCTCCATGCCTTCGGGCTTCATGCAGAGACAAGAGAGGGGAAAAGAGGGGAGGGTGAGAACCTGGGCCAGAAATGTGGGATGGGTAGCTACGGAAACGGCTATTATGCAAACAAGAGGAAGGATGGAACACAATCTGAGTGAAGCCAAAATATCAGGTGCACCCCCCACACACTTATAGAGACACTGGAGGGGGTGTGCTGAGTGTGAGAACAGGAAAGCAGAGAGTGGTGGAGATTTCATGACAGAGTAACACCTGGTGTGCTAGGGTGGCCAGTTCTAGGTTGGGGGAACTCCTGGAGACTTGGGGGTGGAGCCTGGTGAGGACACAGGGACCCCAGCGGGGTACGATGCCACAGAGTCCACCCGCCCAAGCATCCATTTTCTCCAGAGGAACTGCAGATGAGCTGTAATTCTGGGGAATCTCCCCACCTTTAGGTTGGCATCCCTACTGTGTGCCCAAGAACCAGTCAATGTGTGATAAAATCAATGAGCGCACAATCCTTCTCCCCAACCCCTCCCCACGCACCCAGTGACACGGGATTCAGCCTATGAAAAGGGTTGCTGTCTCTCCATATCAAAGGGCACGGGATACGCTTGCAAACTGCAACTTTCGAGTCACCTGTGGAGGCCAAAATTACCTCCTGCGGCAAGAAACACTCTCGTTTAGGTCCTGTCATGAGAAGCCTGAGTGCCTGGGAGGCTAGCAGAAATGGTGTGAGATATCTGTTGGCCTAGACTTGTGAAAGACTAGGCTTGCCAACTTCCAGGTGGGGCCTGGAGTTCTCCCAGACCACAGAGATCGGCTCCCCTGGAGAACATGGCCCCTTCAGAGAGCCAACGCTGTGGTTATACCACAGAGCCCAGGTGAAATCCCTCCCCCAATCCCCTCTTCAATTCCTCCCCCCAATCTCAAGGAATTTCCCAGGCCAGAGTTGGCAACACTCGCTGACACAGAAGTATTTTACAGTGTGGAAAACTGGTTCGTATGACTTCTCATCAGCCCTAAGCAGAAAAACAAGGTAATTTCTAGAATAGGAGGTGGCCTTGCCAGAGTTTCCTCTGGTATATGGGGGGGGACCCCATGCACACACACATGAAGTATGCAGGACTAGGGGTCATTTCCTGCAGGAGTGCACAGGAGCAGAGCTCTGGCAGTAAAGAGCCCAGGGGGCGGGCACATGCAACAAGCCCCACCCCCTGCTCGCAGCAGCCCTCAGTCAGAGCAAGAAGCAGCCAGGTAAATTGCAGAGCTCCCCCCGGTCCAAAACAGTCCAGTGGCACCTTTAAGACCAAGTTTTATTCAGGTACAAGCTCTCCCTCCTCTGCGAGGACAGATCTGCATGTTCTCCCCCACCCCCAATAGCTAGCAATCCAAAACAGTCCAGTGGAGCCTAAGCGGTGGGTGTTGACTTCTGACACACTTCCGGTGAAGTCGGGGTGTGGCATATGCAAATAAGTTATGCTAATGAGCTCCTGCACCTCTTGTTCTACGAAATGACCCCTGTGCAGGACTACATTTCCCAGAATGTCCTGGAATCATTACATCACAGTGGCCAATTTTCCCCATTGAAGAACAAACATTAGCACACACACACTCACAGGAACTTTTCATCCTGTACATTTTTACTTCAGTGCAGGTATTCCAAGGAGGGGTTCGCTTTGTCAGCTTCTGTTTCCTGCGGCGCTATGCAGTTGGGAAGGGGGTCTCTCCTCCTCGCCTGCTCTGACCTGCGTGGCCCAAGGCTACCCTGACCTCATCAGAGCTCAGGAGCTAAGCAGGGCTGGCTCTGGTTAATACTTGGGTGGGAAAGCACCAAGGAAGCCCAGGGTCACTACACAGAGGCAGGCAACAGCAAACCACCTCTCTTGCCTCAAAAAACCTACAGGGTCTCCATCAGTCAACTGTGACTTGAGAGCCTTCTCCGCCACCACGCTCCTTGCCAGTCCAGGTGGGGAATGTGTAGGGGGCACCTTGGGGCCATGTTTCCTCCAATACAGTGGGTAGAGGGTCCCAGGCTTCCAGGAAGGAGGCGAGAGCCTCTGGAGCCCCCAGCACAAACAGCTAAAGTCACCTCAGCTCACAGCCCAGTAAATGGGGGGAGGCAGAGGAGGTGGAAGAAGACGAGGAGAAAGAAAAGGGGCAAACAAGGGCAATTGGTCCATATTGTGGGTTCTCCCCCCTTTCCCTTTTGGGATTCACCGCCCCCCCAAATGTTTATGTTTCAACACAGAGCAACCTTTTGTGATTCAGGGAGAACTGGTGCACCAGCATAACTATTTACCATTTATGCGCATGTGAGCGCTGACCACCACCCCCAAGAGCGAAGCAGCCCACAAACCTCGACTAAAAGGGACTTGATCACGGTGTCCGCCTGCCCTTGGCCGAGCGCCTTCACGACTTCGTTCCCACACAGCTGTTCGGAGTCCACAGATTTAGCAGTCACCGTGAGGTTCACTTCACCTAGAACAGAAATGGTCTCCTTGTCAGGGGTACAAATCACCAGCCTTTCTTCCCCCGTGTATTTCTTCATGTATTTCTTGAGAGCCAGTTTGGTGCAGTGGTTAAGAGCGGCGGACTATAACCTGGGAGGACCGGGTTTGATTCCCCACTCCTCCTCCACATGCAGCCAGCTGGATGACCTTGGGTCAGTCACAGTTCTCTCGGAGCTCTTCTATCATGAGCAGTTCTGGAAACGGCTCTCTCAGCCCCACCTACCTCACAGGGTGTCTGTTGTGGAAAGGGGGAGAGAAAGGTGATCATAAGCTGTTCTGAGACTCCTTCAGGTAGTGAAGAGCCGGGTATAAAAACCCACTACTACTACTACTTTTCTTCTTCTTTTTTTTCTTCTTCTTCTTCTACGGATGTTCCCAACTGCCCAAACCTGACAGGTATGAAAGGCTGATCTTTCTTCCTCCGCCAGCCTCCAAGTGGGGACTGGAGCTCTCGTGGAATTCCAGCTGATCTCCAGACGACAGAGATCAGTTCCCCTGCAGAAAATGGCTACTTTGGAGGGGGAGCTCTGTGGCATTGTACCCTGGTGAGGCCCTTACCCTACCCAGCCTCCACCGCTGGGGTTGCCAGCTCTGGGTCGGGAAATTCCTGGACATTTGGAGGCGGAGCCTGGGGAGGGTGAGGTTTGGGGAGGGGAGGTGCCTCAGCAAGGTCCATGTCCCATGCGGCCATTTTCTCCGGAGGAACTGATCTCTGTCATCTGGAGATGTCATTGCGGGGGATCTCCAGGCCTGACCTGGAGGCTGGCATCCCTCAGTCCACCCCAAATCTCCAGGAATTTCTCAGTCCCAGGTCAGCATACCTAAGGTTGCCTGGGTGATGCTCAGCTGAGTGTTCAACCTGGGGGTGGTTTGGGGGAATTCCTGGAGACTTGGGGGCGGAGCCAGGGGAGTTGATCTCTGTCATCTGGGGATTATTTGGAATTCCAGGAGATCGCCAGTCTCCACCTGGAAGACGGCAACCCCAACACACACACAACCAATGCTTTCTCTAAGCTGCGGAGCCTTGTGAGCCAAAATCCTACTTTGTGAGCGACTGGCATTAAAGTTGTGAGCGAGCGATTTGGCTCCTGCATCAATTAGTTTGCTCTGGAGCCCTCCTTCCTGAGTTAAGACAGAAATGTGTGAGCCGGAGGCTAGAAAACTGTGAGCCAGCTCACACTAACTCATCTTAGAGGGAACACTGCACACAGCTATAGAAGGAAAGTTATGCTCTGTGTCTTTTCTGTCTGTCCTTGATCAGACAGCCGCCAAACCCTTTCCCTCCTGAATCAGGAGATAGTTACTCTCCCCACTCTCCACACTTCATCCCTGACTCCAGGGCCGATTTCAGTGCAGCTCCTTACCCAAAGATTTTGGTGTGACGGTCCACGACACGGTTTGCCTTTCGTCCGTACACAGGCAGTAGGACTCCTCCTCATTTCCCAGCAAGGAAGCCGCAAAGTCCGGAGAGGGAGCCAAGGAGATGCCCACCTGCCCATTGGCAAAAGAGTGTTGCTTGCGGGGGGGCAGCTCTCCACCACTCCTGGGAGGGGCTCAGAAAAGGAGGAGGAGGAGGTCAGGGCGGAAGAGAGAAGGCGACCAGTGGGTCTCAGGGGGCCAGAACGGCCAAGGTGGTGTAGGGGGCTGGAAAAGGTGCTCAGGCTCAGCCTTCCTCCAGTTCTATGACTGTGTTCTTCTGACTCTCTCTTTGGAAATTCATGGAAATGTATTTGGGGAGGGCTGCCTGGGGAGGACAGAGTCTGGGGAAGGGAGGGAACTCAGGGGGACGGGAATGGTGATGCAAGGCCACTCTAGGACTTCCGTTTCACCCAGATGGAGACCACAGAGTCGACCCTCCAGAGCTGCCGTTTCCTCCAGTCTCTGTCATTTGGAGAGGAGTTGTGATTCCAGGAGAACTCTCCAGCCCCCACCTGAAGGCTGGCAACCCTAGCTGAGATGCTGAGCTCTGCGACTAGCAGCATTCGTGCCCCCTCTCCTGCGTCTTATTCAGCATTTTGCTGCTCGCTTCTGTGAGTTCCTTTTGCAAGCCGTGGAGGGATGCGAGAAACTCTATACAGAAGAAGAAAAGCTGGGCTTTATACCCCACTTTTCTTTATCATAAGGAGCAGGGGTCATTTCGTAGAAAAAGAGGTGCAGGAGCTCATTAGCATAACTTATTTGCATATGCCACACCCCCTGACATCACCAGAAGTGTGTCAGAAGACAACACCCACCGCTCAGGCTCCACTGGACTGTTTTGGATTGCTAGCTATTGGGGGGGGGGAGGAACGTGCAGATCTGTCCTCACAGAGGAGGGAGAGCTTGTACCGGAATAAAACTTGGCCTTAAAGGTGCCGCTGGACTGTTTTGGACCGGGGGGGCCTGGCTGCTTCTTGCTCTGACTGAGGGCTGCTGGGAGCAGGGGGTGGGGCTTGTTGCATGTGCCCACCCCCTGGGCTCTTTACTGCCGGAGCTCCGCTCCTGTGCGCTCCTGCAGGAAATGACCCCTTATTAAGGAGTCTCAAAGAGGCTTACAATCACCTTCCCTTCCTCTCCCCACAACAGAGACCTTGTGAGGTAGGCGGGGCTGAGAGAGTTCTGAGAGAACTGGGACTGGCCCAAGGTCACCTAGCTGGCTTCATGTGGAGGAGGAGGAGTGGGGAATCAAACCTGGTTCTCCAGATAAGAGTCCATCGCTCTTAACCACTACACCAAGCTGGCTCTCCAGGGTGCTCTACCCCTCCACATACAACACCCTGGACTTCTTATTCAGATTGTCTTGGTTGCAGGGGGGTGGGAGGGAGCTGTCCAGGAGTGTGGGGGGCAGGGAGACGTCGTTGCACACAATGCTCTAGCATTCTGGCCGAAATTCTATGGTTACCAAAATGCTTGAGCGTCAACGCACACGTCCCTGGCATGATGACATCACTTCCATGTGATGTCATCACACTGACCACGTCAATGAGTAACAGACCTCTTTGGGGGTGGGGCTTCCCCCACTGGCCAGCTGGCCGTTGGCAGATTGAAGCCCCGAAGATCGGGGGATCTCCTGGCCAGACCTATATTCCACCTCTCAGATTTCACAAGCCAGCACCCGAAGAGCTTCCAGAATATTCTCCTTAGGTTGAGAAACTTTATTTTTGATAGAACGAGTCTCAGGCAGAACACGCATGCATAAGGTTCGTCCACAGAGTGTATGAAAAGGTGGAGGTTGGGCCAGAGGAGGCCTGTGGGTGACGGGTCTGATCCCACTCCCCCTCCCTCCATGGACAAATGAGGAGACCTCTGGAGGAGAAACAGCCTGAAAGCACGAAGCAGACAAGCAGGCGAGAGAGAGAGACGAGACTGGGTCTATCAATCCGTCTGCGGAAGTAGTGTGGGCTTTTGCCACATTTTCACCCCACAAGTCCCTTCCGGGCCCCCAAAGGTTGCCTCGAAGGCTTAGGGGACTTGTGTGGACCATGCACAGGTTGGCGTAGCAGTGTGGAGCGGGGAAAAGAGGTAGATCACCCCTCCTCCCTCTTCTGCAAATGCAACACCTCTCAGATTTCACAAGCCAGCACCCGAAGAGCTTCCAGAATATTCTCCTTAGGTTGAGAAACTTTATTTTTGATAGAACGAGTCTCAGGCAGAACATGCGTGTATAAGATTCGTCCACAGAGTGTATGAAAAGGTGGAGGTTGGGCCAGAGGAGGCCTGTGGGTGACGGGTCTGATCCCACTCCCCCTCCCTCCATGGACAAATGAGGAGACCTCTGGAGGAGAAACAGCCTGAAAGCACGAAGCAGACAAGCAGGCGAGAGAGAGAGACGAGACTGGGTCTATCAATCTGTCTGTGGAAGTAGTGTGGGCTTTTGCCGCATTTTCACCCCAGAAGTCCCTTCCGGGCCCCGAAAGGTTGCCTCGAAGGCTTAGGGGACCCGTGTGGACCATGCACAGGTTGGCGTAGCAGTGTGGAGCGGGGAAAAGAGGTAGATCACCCCTCCTCCCTCTTCTGCAAATGCAATCTGCTGAAGGAAAAGAGGGGAGAGCCGATTTCGTCCCCTTTCCCCCTTCCAGATACAGTCCTCCAGGCTGGGCCTGCGACCCCAAGCATGAATCCTCCAGGGGTCAGAAGAGGCAGCTGGGAAGAGGGGAGGGGGGCAGAAATCCTCTCTTGCCAGAGCTCTCCAATGGAGTCCTCCTTTCGCCCACTTATGGCAGGAGACCTCTGGCCAATTGCAGCCCTCCCCCTCCAGTGCTCAGCTGATTGGCGGATGGAAACTAGAGGCAAAAACGGGGAGGGGGAACCGGCCTGGGGAAAAGATAAGAAAGAAAAACAAGGCTGCTTCTTTCAGGTTGTCAGCTGTGTTCCTTCTAAGCTGTGGAGTCTTGCGAGCAAAAATCCTACTTTGTGAGCTCCTGGCATTAAAGTCGTCAGCGAGCGATTTGGTCACTGCATTAAATTAGTTTGCTCTGGAGCCATCCTTCCTGGGCAAAGGCAAAAATGCGTGAGCTGGAGACCAAAAAACTGTGAGCTAGCTCACACTAACTCAGCATTGCTGGTGGTGCCTCTCCTGAAAAGAAAACACCAAGTTTCAAAAAGATTGGACCAGGGAGGTCTAATTCCATGAGCCCCAAAAGAAGGTACCCTCGCCCCATTCTCCATGATTTCCAAAGGAGGGAAAGCGTTTAAAAGGAATGCAGTCTCTTTAAATGTGATGGCCAGAACTCCCTTCCAGCTTGTTGGCCTCCCCTGGCAACCCTAGTGACATCACAAAGGTGACGTCACATCCTTGCTCCTGGCTCCACCCCCAAAGTCCCCAGATATTTCCTGAGCTGGACCTGGCAACGCTATTCTGGATAGCTCTAGGAATCACCAGAAACTGTGGTCAAAACCTCCAGTAAGTAGCTGAGCCTCTGCTGAGGCCTAGTTTTTCTTTTCTCCCCTCCCCCCGCCCGGGCCTCACTGCCTGCCCACCCCCAGTCCCGAACCCGCTGGGCAACTGTGCCTTCCACTGACAGACGGCTGGATCCAAGGCACGGAGGTAGAAGGTCCCAGGGGTGGGTGCAAACAGGAAGGGGGCAGCTCTGGACCTGGGAATTTGGACTTGTGGGTGAGCACAAGCGTCCGAGGGGGACCTCTGTTGCCTGGAGATGAGGTGTAATTCTGGGAGATCCCCGGACGTCCAGGCTTCGGGAAGGAGGCCAGACGGCAAACATCACCACTCACTCTGATGCAATGCTGTAGATAGGTGAAGGCCGTGGCCTTCAGGACGAAGGCTTCCCCTCGCACCACTGAGTAAGGCAGGGTGAGGTCCACAAAGAAGGGCTGGAAGGCCTTGAGGGAGACGGTCTCGGAGAGGCCGAAGCCGGCCTCCGCTGACGTACAGAAGGCGCCCGCAGTCCATTCGGTGATGGTGTCTGGGATGGTCACTGGCACGTCTGCCTGCCCACCGGAGCTGGTAGGAAGGGTACAGAAGAGGGCGAGAAGGGATTAGGGTGGCCATCTTCAGCTTGGGAAATTAGGGTTGCCAAGTCTACTTACCTTGGTGGCAGGGGAGCCTCGCCGGGCTCCGAGAGCTCTCTGGCCACGCCCCCAATGTGAGGGGGCGGAGTTCCCCCCGGGGCCCGATTCTGTGGTGGCGGAAATCGGGCCTCCAAAGCGGGGGTTTACCCGACCCCACTTGGGGGCCCTATGGGAAATTCATGGAGATTTGAGGGCAGAGCTTGGGGAGGGGAGGAAACTCAGCAGAGATGTGATGCCACAGAGCCGGCCCTCCCTAGTGCTTCTATTTCCCCCGATCTCTGTCGTCTGGAGGCCAGCTGGAATTCTGGGAGAACTTCAGGCCCCACTTGGAGGTGAGAAATCCCAAGAATTTCCACAGTCCCCTGAGGAAATGCTCTTGGCGCAGAGGGTAGTTCCGCCATCTTTGCTTTACAAGTCAAATCCAGTCTCTCTTTTTATGTTCAGGACACTAGAGGATAACATAGAGAAAACCTGGGGCACAAAAATGCATGCAGGGAGACAGCTGACTGCTAACAGGGTGGCCATAGGGTTGCCAGCTCCGGGTTGGGAAATACCTGGAGATTTGGGGGGGGGACGTGAAGAGGGTGTGGCTTGGATATGGGAGGGACATCAGTGGGATGTAATGCCAGAGAGTCCACCTCCCAAAGCGGCCATTTTCTCCAGGGGGACTGATTTGTCACCCTTCGATCAGTTGTAATCTCAGGGGATCTCCAGCCATGTGGATGGCATCATTATGAATGATTTTTGAAAAATTGATTTGTTCCAGTAAACTGGATATTGGGTAAGAACTTATAAGTCTGTGGACTTTTTCTTTTGACATAATGTATCACCGTTGTTCTGCTTGCTTCCAACTACCTGGTGGTGGGTGGGTAATCCTAGGTGGCAAACGTATAAAAAGGTCCATGTGATAAGAACGTAGCCCTCTGTTGACTCCAACCACACAAGCAGAGGGTGATTCCACATTAGACCGTAAATCCTGGTTCAACCCTGTCCCTGAACTTACATTCTACACTACACTCGAGTTCACCCCTGTAATTATCTCGGGGTATTTTTTGTTTCCACATGACATTGAGGTCACCCCAGTTTTGCCTCACACTTGTCCCGGGATAAAGAAGAAGGCAGAGGACTCTTCTGAGTCCTCCTGACTGTGCGAAGTCATGATCAATCGGGGGGAGGAGGGAAGGAGGGGAAGCCGGGGATTCGGGAGGGGGCCCATTAAAAACATGGGGGGGGGCTAGCTACGGGACTAGTTATACATAACCCCATCACTGGCATTCTGTGATTGGCTATGCCTCTCATGGCAGCCATTTTGTGATTGGCTATGCCTCCCATAAGATTTCCCATAAGGAAAGATTTACGCAACTGAATGAAGATTTTGGGCTAGCTACGGGACTAGTTATACATAACCCCATCACTGGCATTCTGTGATTGGCTATGCCTCTCATGGCAGCCATTTTGTGATTGGCTATGCCTCCCATAAGATTTCCCATAAGGAAAGATTTACGCAACTGAATGAAGATTTTCAGAGAACAGCAAGGAGAGATAAGGAGGCCTTCCTGAATGAACAGTGCAAAGTAATAGAGGAAAACAATAGAATGGGAAGGACTAGAGATCTCTTCAAGAAAATTGGAGAAATCAAGGGAGCGTTCCATGCCAAGCTGGCCACGATAAAGGACAAAAACGGTAGGGACCTAACAGAAGCAGAAGAGATTAGGAAAAGATGGCAAGAATACACAGAAGAGCTATACAAGAAAGACCTCGATGTCCTTGACAACCACGACGCTATAATCACTGACCTCGAGCCAGACATGTGAAGTTAAATGGGCCTTAGAAAGCATTACTAACAACAAAGCTAGTGGAGGTGATGGTATTCCAGCTGAGCTATTCAAAGTCTTAAAAGATGATGCTGTTAAAGTGCTGCACTCAATTTGCCAGCAAATTTGGAAAACGCAACAGTGGCCACAGGATTGGAAAAGATCAGTATACATTCCAATCCCAAAGAAGGGCAATGCCAAGGAATGTTCAAACTATCGCACAATTGCACTCATATCACACTCTAGCAAGGTCATGCTCAAGATCCTACAAGCTAGGCTTCAACAGTACATGGATAGAGAACTGCCAAAAGTACAAACTGGGTTTCGAAGAGGTAGAGGAACTAGAGATCAAATTGCCAACATTCGCTGGATTATGGAGAAAGCAAGAGAGTACCAGAAAAATATCTACTTCTGCTTCATTGACTATGCTAAAGCCTTTGACTGTGTGGATCACAACAAACTATGGCAGGTCCTTAAAGAGATGGGAGTACCAGACCACCTCACATGTCTCTTGAGAAACCTGTATAAGGGCCAAGAAGCGACAGTTAGAACCGGATACGGAACAACTGATTGGTTCAGCATAGGAAAAGGAGTACGACAAGGATGTATACTGTCACCTTGCTTATTTAATATATATGCAGAGTACATCATGCGAAATGCTGGCCTGGATGAATCACAAGCGGGAATTAAGATTGCTGGGGAAAAGATCAACAACCTCAGATATGCAGATGATACCACTCTAATGGCTGAAAGTGAAGAGGATCTAAAGAACCTCTTGCTCAGAGTAAAAGAGGAGAGCGCAAAAGTGGGCTTGAAGCTCAACATCAAAAAAACTAAGATCATGGCATCCGGCCCCATCACTCCTTGGCAAATAGAAGGGGAAGCTGTGGAAGTAGTGACAGACTTCACGTTCCTGGGATCCCAGATCACCGCAGACTGTGACTGCAGCCATGAAATTAAAAGACGCCTGCTCCTTGGGAGGAAAGCGATGGCGAACCTAAACAGCATGATAAAAAGTAGAGACATCACCCTGCCAACAAAAATACGCATGGTCCAAGCAATGGTATTCCCAGTAGTCATGTATGGCTGCGAGAGTTGGACTATAAGGAAGGCCGAGCGCCGAAGAATAGATTCTTTTGAACTATGGTGCTGGAGGAGACTCTTGAGAGTCCCTTGGACTGCAAGAAGAACAAATCAGTCAATCCTCAAAGAAATCAACCCTGACTGTTCCCTGGAAGGCCAGATAATGAAACTGAAGCTCAAATATTTTGGCCACCAAATGAGAAGGGAGCACTCACTGGAGAAGACCCTGATGCTGGGAAAGACTGAAGGTCAAAGAAGACGGGGACGGCAAAGGATGAGATGGTTAGACAGTGTCATAGATGCAACGAACATGAAATTGAGCAAACGTCAGATGACGGCGGAAGACAGGAAGGCCTGGTGTGATCTGGTCCATGGGGTCGCGAAGAGTCGGACTCGACTGTGTGACTGAACAACGAAATGCCTCGCATGGCAGCCATTTTGTGGTTGGCCTGGCGTACTGTGGCAGCCATTTTATTATTGGCTCAGCTTCCCATGGCAATAGGGTAGCCAATTAGAGAGGACAGTTCCCCTGGAGAAAATGACCACTTTGGAAGGTGGGCTGTATGGCATTATACCCCATTGAAGCCACTCCCCTCTCCAAACCCCACTCTCCCCAGGCTCCACCCTCCAAATCTCCAGGAATTTCCCCACCTGGAGCTGAAAACCGTACATGGCCTCCATTCTGTGTAGGGTTCCCAGCTCCAGGTGGGGAAATTCCTGGAGATTTGGGGGTGGAGCCTGGGGAGGGTGGGGTTTGAGGAAGGGAGGGACCTCAGCATGGTATAAGTGTCAGAGTGTTCACCCTCCAAAGCAGCCATTTCTGCAGGGGAACTATTCTCTGTAGTCTGGAGATCCGTTGTGATTCCGGGAGATTCCCAGGCCCCACTTGGAGGCTGGCAAACCTAGATTTGTGGTGGCTCTGTCGAGATTCCAGAGGCGCATGGCAGGGTGGAGGTTAGGGACTCCTGCACTAGAGACAACTGAACCACATGGGATCACAGTGCCAAGAGAGGGGGCTGGGGTCCAGGCTCTCAGACCGTCCTTCGAGTCCTCTTGTCTCTTGAGGCAAAGTGGGTCATCATCGAAGTCAGGGCCTTGCCAGTAGCCCCACGAGTTCGAAATGCTCTCCTCCTGCATTCTAAATGATTTCCAGGTTCAACTGGATTTTCTTTATGTTACTTGCAACAGTTTTATGATGTGTACTTTTGTGTGCTTTATTATGTTCCCAACTGTGGATAGGGGAAATTTCTGGAAATTGGGGGTAGAACCTGCAGAGGGCGGGGTTTGGGGAGGGGAGGGATGTCTAATGCCCCATGGTCCTCCCTCCAAAGCAGCCATTTCCTCCCGGAGAACTGGTCTCTGTCGCCTGGAGATCAGTTCTAATTCTGGGGGGTCTCCTGGTCCCCACCCGGAGGCTGTTAATCCTACGTGAATTTTATGTTATTTAGCATCATTATTGCGTTCTTTATAAAGTTTCATGCCATCTTTTAGAGCTGCCGAATGTTCTGACGTGGCTGGGTTTTAAAAAAAGATCTCCAAATAAATAGATCAGATGAAAGCTTGAAATAAAAAATGTAAGTGCAAAAATAAACAAACACATTTGCAAAAGCCACGCCCATTCATCGCAGCAGGGTCACCCCCTTGACCCAAACCTTAATGTTTCTTTCCGTCTACGTAACCCTCTTAAGTATCAAAGCCACTGCTTACTCGACTGACGTTTCCAACCAAAGCCACGTCTCGGGGAAAAAGCTTCTGGTGGGCTTTTCCACTGCAGCCATTGCAGAGTCTGGCGATGGGGGCGCTGATGGCGAACGTCCTGATGATGTTTCCATTGCATACGCCATGGGTGCGCTCTCTGGAACGGCAAGAAGCAGGGGAGAAGGTTCATGCTGGAGCTGCGGCTGAGAGACGCATCCGTACCACTTGCTGTGGAGCGCCTTCTGTCAAAGAGCCTTGTCTTGCTGTCTGATCAGCAGGGGCTGTTTCCCATGTGCAGGTATGGGCTGCCAACCTCCAGGTGGCGGCTGGAGATCTCTTGCTATTACAGCTGTGATCTCCAGGCAATAGAGATCAGTTCACCTGGAGAGAAGGGCCACAGTGGGAAGGTGGACTCTATGGCATCATACCTCATTGAAGTCCCTCCCCTCCCCAAACCCCGCCTTCCTTGGGCTCCAGCCTCAACATCTCCAGGTATTTCACAACCCAGATCCGGCAAGCCTACGTGCACGTCCTTCCTCAATTCTGCACTCAAGTGAACACGCATCCGTGAAGCAGCTCTTTGCCTCTTTGGCTCCCAAAGCTGAATCGAATGGCGAGGAGGTGGCTGACGTGTGCAACCAGGGGTCATTTCCTGCGGGAGCGCACAGGAGCGGAGCTCTGCCAGTAAAGAGCCCAGGGGGCGGGCACATGCAACACGCCCCACCCCCTGCTCCCAGCAGCCCTCAGTCAGAGCGAGAAGCAGCCAGGTAAGTTGCAGAGCCCCTCCCCCCTCCAAAACGGTCCAGTGGCACCTTCAAGGCCAAGTTTTATTCAGGTACAAGCTCTCCCTCCTCTGCGAGAACAGATCTGCACGTTTCCCGCTTCCCCCCCAATAGCTAGCAATCTAAAACAGTCCAGTGGACCCTGAGCGGTGGGTGTTGCCTTCTGACACACTTCCGGTGATGTCAGGGGGTGTGGCATATGCAAATAAGTTATGCTAATGAGCTATGCTAATGAGCTCCTGCACCTCTTGTTCATGAGTCCAGGTCCTGTGTGCAACTAACTGCCAAACCAAGCAACGAACACAGGTCTGAGATGTCATCTTTGGTGTCTGGCACCTGCTCGTGTCATCGGACACTCGATTCCTCACGTCGTCTCCACCCCCCCCGACACATTTGCACCCTGACCAGAAGTACCGTTTCCTCTGAAAACTGGCCATTCCTCTAAAACATTTCTGAGAATCACACACGTTTTCCGAAGGCAGCAAGGGGAGAGAATGGCTGCTATCAGCTCCTGAGGAAACTATCCAGGGTCTGAATGAGTCCAGGTGGGAGGTGGGACGAGTCTGTGTCTCCAGGCCACTCTAGCTGGCTCCGTGGGACTGTGGGTCGGTCTGTTCACACATATGCAGGCCTGATTTCCAGACATGAGGGGAGATGGTGGAGAGTTCCATTTCATTCTCTTTGGGGAAAGGAGGAAACCTCTCCAAAGGGAACTGAAGTGGCCGGCCACACCCCACGAGCGAGGGGAAGAGACTGCACTGCCCTCAGACTCTCTTGCTGTCTCTTTTGCTTCTCTTTTCTCTCCCTGATCTCCCAACAGGGCTGCATCATTCCTAAGGCTGACTAGGCCGAAGCCTAGGGGCCCTGCAGGGACTAGGGGCCCATCAATTATTATTTTTTTTGCTGAGGCGCACTGTTACTTTCTCTTCATAGACAGCCTGTAATATATAACCTCTGCTAATAAGATAATTAATTTCTTCCTTATTGCAGTGAAACACGTTGTCTCTTATATTAAAACAATGATCCATAATTTATATATTTTAATAGATAATAAAAATGTTATTCGCTCCAAAATATTACAGTATTGCACAATCATACCCCCCAAAATGTGATTTCCTGAAGAGTTCTGCTCGCGCAATAAAAATATATATTTGAAAACTGAATAGAATTCTTCAGGAGACCCTCACAATGGATCTAGGGCTATGGGCTGCGGCCGAGTGCCTACCGTGCCAGGGCCAGGCTGTCAGCTGTAGTGGGGTGGAAGACTGAAGTGCCGGAGGGGCCCTGAAATATCTGAAAGCCTAGGGGCCGGCCTGGCCATGGGCTAATACGGCCCTGCCTCCCAGGCATCTTTGCTGGCCCTCGGAGGCCTCCTCCCTCCTGCCGAGGCCCCACTGAGAAAGCTCACAGACAAAATTCCTCAGAGGTTGTTCCAAATTCACTTTACATTTTCCCTTTGATAAGATATTGTTGGGAGGTCATAGAAACGAAGGCATAGAAGAAGGAACAATGATTCCCTAGAAAGTCCTCCTCCCAAACATCTGGGTGTTTTTCAATAAAGCCGTTTTACTGGAGTTGCCAGAAATGCCCCCCCCCCGTGGAGGCGGGGATCCCCCACTGCCAGGCCCCTCCTCCCTCCCGCCAATCAGCTGGCCGGGGGGGGGGACTGACCCCAAAAAGGAGGGAGGCCCAACCAACGTTTTAGCAACATTCCTACATGACTTCAGTGTGACCTGGAAGTGACATAGGCACATCATGACGACACTCTGGTTTTGGGGCAAAACCTCTATGGTAAAAGCTAATTCTACCATCGAGTTTTTGCCCAAAAAACCAGAGCATCACTCTGACATCCCCGACATGCCTATGTCACTTAATGGGTCTTGCTTGAAGTGACGTGGGCACGTTGCTGAAACATCGGCTGAAATGTCCTGCTCCCGGTAAGCCCACCCACCCCCGTCCCCCACCAGTTGCCAGGAGGGACCGAGCCACCCTACATCTCACAGAGCCCCAGGCCCAGTGGAGGCAGAGGAGCCATCGGGGCAAAAGGAGAGAGGGCGCTCGGCAGCTCATTAGCCTTGGAGATGGAGCTGAGGTAAAGAGCAAAGGAATGACTCCTCTGTGCCTTGTTCTGCTTTCAGTTCTTACCGTGCCACCCTGCTCCACCTTCACCTCGAGCGCTGTATGCAACTCCGTGAGTGCAGAACGTAGGCTGACGGATCCTGACATTAGTAAAAACTTTAAGGCCAACATTCTGCAAAACAAGAGGGTAAGGCACTCTCTCACATCTCGAAAAGCCTGGACCTCTTCTATATGTCAGAGAGGAGCAGGTAAGAGGGCTCCTTGGCTAATCAAAGAGGGGCGCGGCACACAGACGAAGCGGGCAGTTCGTTGTGGTTTGAGTCAGGCCAAGGCGTTTCTTCACCCTGGGAAGAGTGCAGAACCTGTGCCCCGCCCCTGCCACCCCTGCCCCTGAGTGTGCCCACAGGGATATGGGCCTCCCTCCTCCTCTGCGCATGGATCCCTCCCTTGAAAGACGGGCCTCGGAAGGGCCGTGTGGAGCTGCTCGTTCTGCAGCATCACCTCCCGTCCTCCTCTCGGGACTCCTGGTTGGGCCTTCAACCCAGGCAGAAGTAAAAATGTCCCAGGGAGCCGTACTCTGACAGGCTTCCCCGGAATTCAGATCTGTACCTTTAGGAATTAGATGAACAGAGTTCTGTGCAAAAAGGGTAAAAAACAATTGTAGGATACTGTGAAAACAACTATAAAAGTAAGGAGGGAGAGGACAACGGGGAATGTCAAGCCGGCCGTCATCTATTCCAGAGAAGGCACATTGGGGACTTTGGGACACAGCTGAGGGGGCGGGAGGCAAAAGCCACAGTGGGATCCCCAGGGGCAGGTTTAGCCTCCATTACAATGGTGTCCCCAAACATAAGGGTTTAATTTCTACCACAGGCATGAATGGGCACCATTCAGTCTATGGGGAAAAGTAGAACACAACACTTGAGCAAAAAACAAAAGTCTTGTTTAATTGGCTCACCCATGTAGAATGACAGTGTAGAGGGTCGGTATTTGTGTTTGGTCCAAAGCTCTGTTCATTCATCAGAACTTCTCCATGAAGTTAACAGGTGGGGTGTGTGGTGTGGCGGCACAAACCTCATTACCCTAGATATTGAGTGGCCCAACCACCTAGACCAGCTCCCACAAATAATGGAAGCTTTCAGGGGTGGAACCCTCAAAAAATACTTTGAAAACACAGAAGTAATCTGGCCACAACATAACCTGGACATAACAGTCCAGGTATTCTTCAAGTCTCTATGGTAATGACTATAGAGATTTTGGGCATTCCTAGAGCATCGTGCTGTAGCTGTAATGTCACTTCCAGGTTTTCACAGGAAGTGACATCATAACACATATTGGACTGTTTGCCCCATTTCCCTCTTACTGCTCAGAAGAAGAAGAGGAGATTGGATTTGTACCCCGCCCTTCACTACCCAAAGGAGTCTCAGAGCGGCTTACAAACTCCTTTCCCTTCCCCTCCCCACAACAGACACCCTGTGAAGTAGGTGGGGCTGAGAGAGCTCTGACAGAAACTGCTCTTTTTTCAAGAACAGCTCTTATCAGACCTACGGCTTGCCCAAGGTCACCCAGCAGGTGCGAGTGGAGGAGTGGGGAACCAAACCCAGTTCTACCAGATTAGAGTCCGTGTACTTAACCACTACACCAACAGCCTCAGGAAGGCCACAGCGATAGCAGGAGAATGCCTGCCAAAATTAGGTAGGTGGCAGCCATATAAGCATCACTGCCAGGGGGTTCTATAGTAAACATTTTCCCTTTCTGCTCTGTTCACCTTGGCTGGGCACAGTGGCAGGCATTTCAGTAGCCATGAGCTCAACGTCTATTTGAAACTCACCCTGAGGAGCTCATAGGGGTCGCCTTTGTTCTCAGAAACTGGGGCGTAGTAAATGCCATCCACGAGAATATTTTTTGAAGCCACACACTTCTCGAGGTCTGGCTCACTCAGATAGTAATTCTGGTAGCTGTAGCCTCTGAGGTCCTTCACAGGAAGCAGATTATAAACCTGAAAGCAAAGGAGAATCGGTATGACATTGAACATTCCTGTGCTGGTAGTCACACCATGCCCATTGAGTCCACGCTGGGGACTGAGTTGTTGTTGTTGTTGTTGTTAGTTTCTCTCTTTCGTTGTTTATTAAATTTCTGGATCGCCCAGTCCCCGAGTACACAAGGCTCTGGGCGATTTACAACAGGTTAAAAACAATACAAAATTACATATTAAAATCAAGTCAGTTAATCCTAATTTAATTGTCTCCCATAATTTAATCCAAAACCTACTCTGGGCTGTTCTTCTATCTCATGGGCAGGGGTCATTTCCTGCAGGAGCGCACAGGAGCAGAGCTCCAGCAGTAAAGAGCCCAGGGGGCGGGCACATGCAACAAGCTACACCCCCTGCTCCCAGCAGCCCTCAGAGCAAGAAGCAGCCAGGTAAGCGGCAGAGCCCCCCCCCCCCCCGGTCCCCTGGTCCAAAACAGTCCAGTGGCACCTTTAGGACCAAGTTTTATTCAGGTACAAGCTCTCCCTCCTCTGCGAGGACAGATCTGCACGTCCCCCCCCCAATAGCTAGCAATCCAAAACAGTCCAGTGGAGCATGAGCGGTGGGTGTTGCCTTCTGACACACTTCCAGTGATGTTAGGGGGTGTGGCATATGCAAATAAGTTATGCTAATGAGTTATGCTAATGAGCTCCTGCACCTCTTTTTCTACGAAATGACCCCTGCTCATGGGCAGGTTAAGGAGGAGGCCCAAGTGGGCAGAATGGAAGAAAAGAGGGTGCCGGCTGTGATGGAAAACCGTTGCTGTCCTCACCCAAAAAGCCTGGTGAAACATCTCTGCCTTACAGGCCCTACAGAATGGCATGAAGTCCCACGGGGCCCTGGTGGAATTTGGCAGAGAGTTCCGCCAGTTCAGGACAGCCAGGGACCACCAGCAAATTGCTCTCAGCAGAGTGTCACACTCTCCCGGGGACGTACCAGAGGAGATGGTCTGGGCTGGAACAACAGACTGTCCGCTAAACTGGAACCATCCCTGCTGCTTTCTAGCCATCTCCAGGCCATTTCCAAAAAGAAATAAGTGGCGGGCAGAGCCTGGCCAAGACAACGTGTCCCACTCCCTTGGAATGCTGGAGGCCACGGGCCAGAGAGGCATGGCCACGTTAGACCACTCGGTGGACACCTGGAATAGATCATAGAACCCTCTCTAGATGTTGCATTTCCTCCTAGATTGATTCCTCTTCTGCCAGAACTTTTCAGAGTGGAAGAGAGAAGCGAGGACTTCCTGGCTCACAGCTCAGTTGCTGAGCCCATTTGTTACCCTGTCTCACCATAACAATGGCAATCAAAACACTCAGGGTCCACTTTGGGTTTCCCAAGTGATTTGAATTAAACTTGAGAGCAGAGTGCAAAATCTTGGCTCCCATTCCAATGTGTTGCCCTGGCTGCTAACTGACCATTCCATTCCTTTCCGCATTTGCCTGCCACTCCGGATTTTCTCAGTGGCTGATTCCGCACCCATCTGTTTCCTCGCAGTTTTCCCACAGCCATGTCGGGAGGTTAATCTACCTCTACACTGCTTGCCACTTTCACTTTCTTTGTTCATCGGGTTTTAGAGTATCTTCTGCATAGATGTATGGCCGCTTAGGGGTGACTTCGCAGTCGTTACAGTGTTGCCCCAGGGTATCTGAATGTGGTTTTAAGTAGCACCTTTTCCTTCTTCCGCTTCCGATTCAAAGGGAACAATAAGCAGGCAACTTGACATGGTTTCATTGATCTCTGTCAGGTCCCCCTCCCCTATCCCCCCCTGTGTTTATCACCCCGCCATGAATTACTTGGCTCAGGAAGCTAATGACCGCTGAGGCAAGTACTGACACAGGAAAATCTGCATTCCAGATTGAATGAAAACAGATATTCAGAGGTCGAGTGCTGAGAAAAAGGGGAGTGAATGCATAGAATGGGGGGGGGAACTGGATTAAAAAGAAGGTTGGATTCGATTTTAGTGCAGAATTGCTTGGAGGAAATTACGGTGAACATGGATTAATGGAGAGCGATGTTATTGTGAGGAGAATGTTTTCCAGTTGGACTGTTGAAGCACTCATCGGAACTCATCGGAACTCCAAGCTGAAGAGAGAGGGAAGGTGAGTGTGTGTGTCTATGGTCAAATCTGCATTTACGTTTTTAAATTAGTTTCGTGCTTCTGTGACGCCGTCTTTCTCTATGCTTGTTTGAATGTTGTTTGGAGAAGATTCATTTAAAGCAGGCACAATTACAATGGAGCTGCCACAAGAGGGCGATAAACATATTCAGACATGCAAAAGTATACTCACACAGTTGAAGTGTGAAAACTAAAGCAAATGTAGACAGGTTTGTTTTAAGAAGGCTGGGACACCGGTGGGAAAGGCAAATGCAGATTTGACCTGTGTGTCTGTGTGTGAAGAAACAGCAGGAAAATCCTTGTGAGTGCAGGATTTCTCTCTCCCTGAGAATCCGATGGGCCGTAGCAATTCTGTTGCCTTCTGGAAGTGCCTCTTTTTGCCTCTACTTTTGCTCACCACAGAGAGAATTGGGAAGCATGGTGCCTACAGACTAGTGGCCGTGATGTCACTGGACAAAATAATGTTCTCATGCTCATCTCACCCCCAGAGCAGCTTTTCAGCTATTTTGCAGGTTGATGTGCTGAGGCAGAGGGGGACGATGAATGCATATTGTTATTGTTCTTCAACAGCAATGCCTCACATATTTGTCAGCAAGATACTTATCACGGCGGAGATTGCAAGTCCTCTCTCCAGCATGGGAGCTTATAAAGCTAGAGCTATCTAAGAGAGTAGAGGAAAAATTGTTCTGGGAAATGGGGGTCCATATGCACCCTTGGATGCAGCTGGGACTCACGGTCTGGGGCGAAAGCTCAGCTTCAGGCTTCAGAAGGAGGACGCTCTTATCAACAGCACGGATGGCGCAAAGGGAGTCTTTGGAGGCCGCAAGATGGAGGTGGGCGTTGCTGCCGGGCAGGCCTTCGGTGCCTGAAAATGCCAGTTTCACCTGAAAGCATAAAAGATCTTTTGACATTCGAACATATGGCAGCAGAAAAGATACTACCCTGGAATCAGTATTCGAGGCTTCAGCTCTCCCTCTCAGCTGGACAGCAATCCACTATTTCACCAACCCAACAGATAAAACTGCATTCTACCAGTTTGCCAAATGAACAGTGGCTTCTTAGTTTAGTTAAACCTTTTAGCTTTTTGTTTGTAATTCAACAATTTTGCTCATTAGCAGAATGGAATTTGGTACCCCTATTCAGGATACAATTCTCCGTTTAACATCTGAATTCCAACTAATGATCCTCCCCCACCCCTTAAAGAAGAGAGGGAAATTGTTGTACTGTGGTTATGTTCCTTGGAGGATTATGTTCCTTGAAGGAATGAAAACTGGTCTTCACATTCAGGACACCATTCTATATCTCAAATTCAAAATTGGTTTTATACCCCACCCTTCACTTGGCGTCTCAGAGCGGCTTACAATCTCCTTTCCCTTCCTCTCCCCACAACAGACACCCTATGAGGTAGGTGTGGCTGAGAGAGCTCTTTCAAGGACTGCTCTTGAGAGAACAGCACAGAGAGAACTGTGACTGACCCAAGGTCACCCAGCTGGCTGCATGTGGAGGAGGAGTGGGGAATCAAACCCAGCTCTCCAGATTAGAGTCCACCGCCCTTAACCACTACACCAAACTGGCAAATCTCCTCCTCCTCCTCCTCCTCCTCTTCTTCTGCAGCTACTGCTTCTTCTGCTTCTCCTCCTCCCCCTCCTCCACTGCTGCCAACACATTTAAATGAGTATCTCCTGCTGGACAGATCTGTACATCTAGCACTCTGTATCTGCGATGCTGTTTGGGCTCAAAGCACTGCTGCAGTGAGGAAGGGTTCCTGCTCCCCCCCCCCCATTCCCCCATGCAAAATGGCACTGGCCATTTTCACAGTTTTTCTGCCTCATGTGCACAGAGTACACCACACGGAGCAGCAAAAATGGGGAAGTAATTCCTCCCAGTGCCATTTTGGTGCAGGAAAATAGCTGGGAGAGCCAGGGGGGGTCCTTGCAAAAAGCCCCTTTGGCTGGTGCTTGAAGAGGTTATCACGAAGGCAACTGGTACAGAGCTCAGCTGCCACGCTCCCAGACCTAGCGCTGCCCCAGTTGCCCACGGATGGGAGTATTTATTTCTTTAAAAAGTCATCTCTGCGTCACTTCTGGGGAAGACCCTGAAGTGATGTAGGGTAGCTGTATGGTTTTACCATAAAGTGCCTGGTGATTCCTAGAGTGCTTTATTTATTTATTTCATTTAAAACATTTCTATGCCAGGTTTCCACCCAAATAGGATCCTCAAGGCTGAGAACATGAAAACATCTGAAAATTGAAACAGCATTTAAAAAAATAGATATAAAATAATGCAGTAACAACATATGAACACAAACACTCAACACCAACACCAGGGAGGGAGGCCAATTTGGGGGGCATGCCAAATGAAAGGAAAAAGGCTTCACCCACTGGCCGAAGAAAACCACAGAGGGAGACAGACCAATCTCCCTGGGGAGGAGAGACAGAGAGACAGAGGGACTCAGGCGATGTCACGCACCCCTCCTCGTCCCCACTCCCAGCCCTCCCGCCCATTCCTTCCCTCTCTTGCACAAATTCTGTAGCTAAGGAAGCAGCCCTTTGGAGACTGCACTTGGCCTGCATGGCTTTGGGCCACTTTCATTTACCTTATTTGAGAAGCAGTTCTCCACTGCAAAATCTGCCGAGTGAGCAACAAGTTCTCCACTGGGCAGAATGACATAGACGAGCACACGTGCCAAGGGGGCAGTATGGGTGTCCACAGAGAGATCCAGAAGAAACACCCCTTTGGCTAGAAGATTGGGAAAACAAATCACAGAGAGGGAGAAAGGGCGTTACAGGACACTCCTTCAAAGGCAGTACTTTTGGCTTAGGGTTGCCAGCCCCCCAGGTCCCAGTGGGGGATCCCCCGATTTCGGGGGCTTCTCCCTGCCATGGAGCAGCTGGTCATCAAGGGTAACCCCACCACTAAACAGACATGTCACCACATGACATCCCCATGTGATGATGTCACTGAGAAGTGACATCATTGCATCAGATACATTGCGTGGGGACACTCTGGTAATTTGGGCAAACTCTATGGTTTTGAGGGAGAAAAAGCCATAGGGTTTCACCCAAATACCAGAGTGTCCCTGCACTACATCCCCAATGCAATGACACTTCCGTGTGACATCATCGCGCTGAGGACGCTGCGCAATGTCCACCCCCGGAACACCCCCCCCAATTCTCCCGCCGGAGTAAAGGTAAGATCTGGCAACCCTATTTTGGCTGCAGGGCTGGCGTCAGCATAACCTGAGGTGGGGCAGTTGCCATGGCCCAGGGTTTTTGGTGGGGCCCACTGCCACCAACCCACCATCCACATGCCTTGCCTGCTGCCCACCCTTCCCCGCCAGCTCACAAGTGCTCCACTACCCAGGCTCCTAGCTGAGCGTGCTGCCCAGCAATATTGGGGAAGAGCATGCGGGTGGTACATGGTAGCAGTGCTCCTGGTACCCATGGTGGCAGCACCTCCCACTACAAGCCCTGGTCAGTGCCATCAGGCAAAGAGCAGGCAGGCACTGTGGGCAGCAGGTGGTGGCAAGGCTTGCGAGCAGCGCAAGGAAACATGGGCAGATGTGGGGAGGGGTGCATCAGTGGGGGTGGAAAGGGAAGTGCGCCCCATGGGGGCCTGGTGGTAGGCAGAGGGGGGGACCACTGGGAACTTTCTGCCCAGGAGCCTCCAAATCCTAGAACCAGCCCAGTTTGGCTGACCTCCAGCTGTAAAGACAACCAGGGCTTTTTTCCTGGGGGAATGCACCAGAATGGAGTTCCGGAACCTCTCGGACAAAATTCTTTTAGAAATGTTTAAAAGTTCATGAGTTTTCAGTATACGGATTGAAACTTCCATTCCCTCTTGAGAGTCCTGGCACCTCTTTTTCCAAAAAAGAAGGCAGGCAGGCAAGCAGCAAGGAAGGAAGGAAGACCTGAAGACAATCTTGACTCATGACAGAGAAGGCTTTGAAGTAGGAACTGTAGTTAACATTCTTTTCCCCTTGAACCAGGCCATCTCCTGGCTTCCTTCCCTTCCTTCAACAGTGTGGGCCAGGGCCGGGGGAGGGGACATGCACAGGGGGGGAGAGAGCAAGACACCCAGCGCTCCAAGAGGATTTTCTCCCTGTTCTGAACAAGGAAGCGCTAGCTGGGGATGCTGAATGCGGAGGGCCCCTCACAGCACGTGCAGTCAAAGGCACATGGTCATCTCCCAGCAGGCAAGCACCTTAGGCTGAAGGGGAAGCAAGAGTGTGAAAGGTATTTACCTACTGCGTGTTCCACAGGCTCCACATGGATCCCGGATTGCACAATGCCCCCCTTCGCCATCACCTGCATTGAACGAGAGAAATGTGAGCAATAGAAATGCTGATGTGGGAGGATAATGTCTGCTCACACTAATCAATATGCTCAGGAGTGCTACTCCTAGGGATTCAAGGGGTTCCAGATACATGATGATGATGATGATGATGATGATGATGATGATGATGATGATGATGATGAATTAAAAATTCAGTTTATACCCCACTCTATCCCACAAGTGGGCTCATGGCAGCTTTCAACAAAAAAACCCATTAAACAGTAAAACCAATAAAACAGTCGAAGGCACGCTAGACGATATCAACAAACCCCGTGCCTCATATCAGGTGAATAGAGATACTCCAGAAAACTCCAGTGCTCAGTAATATTATCTAAGACAGCAAGGCACTGGGAGGGGGCCATAAACGGGGGAGGCCAAAATGGCTGAACGTCCACTGCCTCGACTAAAAGCCTGGCGGAACAGCTCTGCTTTACAGGCCCTGCGGAACTTTAATAAGTCCTGCAGGGCCCTGATCTCAGGTGGGAGCTTGTTCCACCAGGCTGGGCCGAAAAAGCCCTGGCCCTCATGGAGGCTAAGCAGACGTAACTCATGGCTCTAATTCTGGATCTGAAGCCCAGTGGGATTCCAGATAAGAAAAATAAATGTGCGAGAATAAGATCTGAAGGATAACCAAGATATACGTTTCCTGTTCTGCTTCCCTCACTTGCCAAACTGTTTTTAATGTTAAAACCACGCCGTTGCCTGCTCCTTCTGCTTTACACTGGAACAAGGCCATCACAGGATCTAGCAAAGGAGGCTTCCTTCTGCCATCACAGCTGATCTTGGCCCTGAGTAAGACCACTAGAGTTGCCAGGCATGGTGTGGCAACCAGTAGGACATGGGGGGTGGGCATGTTAGGGGGCAGCTGTGAGTAATGACATGCTATCACTTCCAGGAAAACCTCGAAGTGACATCACTCCTCTCTACGAATCACCAGAGACCTCTATGGTAAAACCATAGAGTTTCTGGTGATTCCTAGAGGGGACTGGCATCACTTCCAGGTTTCCCCCAGAAGTGACATCACACTGTCAAGCCGACAATAAGTCTTTTCCTCCCACTGCTGCTCCAAGCAGTGGCAGGAAATGAGAGGCAGGGCAGGGAATTCCCACCCCCAGGGGTAGCTTGGCAACCCTACAGACCACTGATCCAACTACTCTGTCATGGGTCAGCCAGGGCTCCACACCAGGGAGGACTCCTCAGAGGAGGAGGAGGAGTCTTCTGTAGCCAGCCCAGGGTCAACAGAAGCTGACCAGCAGGAAAATGAGAAGCAGGCACACCAGGGCATACAGCCAAAAGCTGGTGCAGAATCACCTCCACCCTCCAGCTCCGATTCAGCAGTCAAAGCCCAGCCACCTGCTTCTGTTTCCCCGGGGTCACTAGCACCCTTGGAATGTGAAGCTGAGAACAGATTTACAGGCTAGGCAGCAAAGCACATGCCTTCTGCCCCAACACCAGCTGCCTGCTGATAGTGAGGATGAGTCTTTGCAGGACTGTTCTTGAAAAGCTGGCCAGAGGTGTGACCTTTGGATGTGCGGCTACAAAGTCTCCCAGGAGACACTTCTGGGCATGGACACAACATGTACATCAGACGCTGAACTGCTGACATTGCCTTGATTGATTTCTGGAAACCTGACCTTGGATTGAATGACACTGGACTTCTGAAACTCTCTCTGGCTTTGTTATCTTTGAGCAACACAAGAAGACACTGTAACCTGATACCAGAAGCCAGCAAGCCTATACCAGACCAATATTTTCTATATCAACTGGAAACAGAAACAGCTCTCGAAGGTGTCACTCAGAGTTCTCCCCCATCCCTGCTAACGATCTCAGCAGTCTGTTCCTCAAAATGGACTGCTGCTAGGGCCTGGGACCTTCTCTGCCACTGAGCTACGGACTGTCTCCAGAACACACACACACCCCAGTTTTGGCCATGGAAGTCAAGGTCACTCAGACTTACCAAATAGTAAAAGTGAATCTTCTCTGGTACAGCATCCGGCTTCAAGATGTAATGTATCCTGACTGGCTGAGTATGCTCACAGCTTAAGGTCTCAGCAACAGACTCAATATGGAGGTAGCTTCCACTGGGTGAGTAGAAGAGAGTTGCTGTGTGATAGGGGCCTTGATGAGTGGCAGCGACCCAGTTCCTCTCATAACAGTGATCTTGCGTTTTATACAGCGCCTAATAGAAAAAGGGCCCAGAGATTAGGAAATATTAATTTATGTTTACAGTTCTGAGCCATCTTTCTGCCACAATGAGGGCATTCAAAACTGCTTAAAATACATTCAAAGGTCAGATAAAACAATGTAGAACTTTTGGCAGGAAGTCCGTCAGGACCGGGGGCCCTACCTAATTTCAAATTTGCAATTAAGTCCATTATTTGGCCTGTGTTAACTGGTGGCCATCTAGGGATATTGGAAGGAATTATAGCATCCAGATTAATACTGAGGCCGCTATGCGAGCTAAATGCCATTTAGGGAGAGATACAAGGACTGGATAGCGATTTGTTGTTTAGCCTCCCTGTGATCACACGCCAAAAAGCTTTACTATCTCGTGATTTAATAGATGAAAAAAGCTAATTCCACTTATTCTGAAAAAAGTGGATTTTTTTCTTGGCAATTAACTCATGAAATTACTTTTTATGAATAAAATATTGCTCCAACTTGCCAGATTTCCCCGAGTGGTAGGAAACCCTAAATAAAGTTCTTAGTTCTTTTTTCCGATCAACGCATTCTTGGTCAAACCAGGTTGATAGAATAAAGGAAGTTACACGCAGTGGTTTGGCCATTAGGCTACACTGATTAGTAAATTGACAAAAGGCATTAAACACTTTCTGATGGGAGGCAGAACTAATTATTGTTATTTTCAAATTAGACATTAATTCGGAGTTAAGGAGAATAGAAATGTTGGGAATACATTATTGGCTCAAGCTCTATTTCAGAGCAGAGCTGGGATCCCTATTAAATTTTTTGGAAAATGAATTGCATAATACGAATTGGGATTGCACTTGATGATTTAGTTTTATCTGACAAATCTCATTGATACTGAACAACAAAAACTCCAACCAGCCCAACCCTATATTTGTTCTCCTGCCAGACTTGGACTTACTAACCATTTGGGCAGGATGGCCCGAGATCTCCACGCTCTTGATGTTCCTACACAGCGTAGAGCCTTCTTATTGGCCAGGGAAAATTCATTCCCTTCCAGGATGCTTTCTGGTAGGTATCTCCAGATCCCGAGGCATGAATATTTATGTCCTTGCATAATTGGTCGCATAATTTTGGATTTCCCTTTTTATGCGCCCTAGGAAAAGGCTGCTCTGAGGCTGTTTAAAAAGCATACGGGTGTATACGGGCTAAGATCCAGGGGGAACCTAATCAGAGATTGTGCTGGGTATTGGGAAAGGCTCAGGTGGAAGGCCTTAACGCTAAACAAGCAGAGATGCAAATTCCGATTGTACTCAGGGGAAAAGGCTGATGGTACCAGGAGTTCAAGTAGATCCTTCTAGAATTCAGGCAATTACTAATACACCCGTGCCCTGCCCACAGACAAAAAGGGGGTTCAAAGGTTTCTTGGAGTGGTACATTTTATGAGAAGATTTATACCCAACCTAGGTGACAAAACTACCCATTTAAGATCACTGCTGTTAAAAACAAATGTGCAGTTGTCCTGGGAAAGCCAGCACCTCTCTGTAAGGCCGGTTCTCTGCCCAAGCTACATACCTGGCTGCTTGGAACCACACAATGCAGAGGGAATCAATATACCACTGGGGCTTGGCCTGCTCTAGGCCAGTGGAGGCAATAAACAGAACATACTGCTGTTTTGGCTTTCCAAACCCCACCCCATTGGCACCTGGGTCTTAAGAGGCTGCTAGCCCTGGCAGGGCTCAAGTGCTCCAGTGGGAGAAGATTGCATGCAGGGAGAGGTGGCAAAAATACCTTGAACCATCCTGGCCTTTCCGAACACCCTATCGGCATCCTTAGCAGCACAATTAAAAATGACCCCCACACACACACAAAAAGAGAAAGCAAGAACTGCAAAGGATTTCACAAACATATCAGACGGGGCCATAGGGATGCCAGACTCCAGGGGGGACCTGGGGATCCCCTGGAATTACAGCTCACCTCCGGACGATGGAGATCAGTTCCCCTGGAGAAAATGGATGCTTTGGAGGGTCAACTGTATAGCATTTTTCTCCACTGACGTCCCAGTCTCCATCCCCAAATCTCCAGGAGTTTCCCAAGCTAGATTTGGCAACCCTACTACTCCTCATCCCCTGCCAGTGGCCAGGGGAGACCTGGCAACCCAAGGCCACAAAGATGATGTCACATGGGGCCACAAGAGCTCTTTCACAAGCGGGAAAAGCACAGCTGCTTCGTGGCATTAAATAGGCCTCATGAGGGTAAAGAAGTAGCCACAGCCATGAAGTATCGGAGCCACAGAGCCTAGCACTCAACAATCTCACGTTAAGGAATGGGCCAACCTTATCCCATGCTTAGCAGGTCAACAGTGAATGTAAGTATTCCCTGGCTTGGTGCAGATGCAATGAAAAAACATGGTTTATTTTAACTCTGATTCATTCATGGAGCCAGGTTTGGGCTTGCTGGCAGTCCCTCAAATCCTTCTTGGCCTGACAAATGCTGGCCAAGGTGTCTCTATAGCTGGGGAGTGTGCTCAAGGGAATGCACCAGGATTAAGCCACACATCTGCATTCACACATCAAACTGAAGCGAAGACCAGCTTTACACTTTGGATTCCGATTTTGGTTTGACAGATTCTAAAGCCCTGTTCACAAGGTCACAAGATTACAGGGACAATCCATGTACACTGTACACTTGATTGTCCTTGGTATGTGTATTGAGTAATTCTCATGTGACAGTCAACAAATGTACAGTTGAACAAACCCCACATATATCCAGTCCCCAGTTTCATTCATAAAGTGAACGTGTGTTGGCTCTTTCTTACAAACAAACATATGCACACACAGGTGGACAGGATGTACATGCATTCACTGTAACATGTGAACAGAGGCTTAAGTAACCACAACTAGTAAAATGGTCTGTATTTGGACAATTATGTTGATCCTAGGTAATTTAATTAAACCAGGGGTGTCAAGGCTTAAGTAACCACAACCAGTAAAATGGTCTGTATTTGGACAATTACGTTGATCCTAGGTAATTTAAGGAGCTGCGGTGGCTCAAGTGGTTAAGACGCTGAACTGCAGGCTGTGGAAGGTCAGTAGTTCAGCGGTTCAAGACCCGGGTGCCACAAGACAGGGTGAGCTCCTGTCTCTAGTTCCAGCTCCTGCCAACCTAGCAGTTCGAAAGCAAGAAATTGCAAGTAGATAAATAGGTACCACTTCGGTGGGAAGGTAACAGCGTTCCGTGCGCCTTGGTGTTTAGTCATGCCGGCCACATGACCACGGAAACGTCTTCGGACAGCGCTGGCTCTTCGGCTTTGAAACGGAGATGAGCACCGCAACCCTAGAGTCGGATTCGACTGGCTTTCGAGCAAGGGAACCTTTACCTTTACCTTTACTAGGTAATTTAATTAAACCAGGGGTGTCACCTGAACCGAGCTGAACTGTGGTTAATAAGCCACCTTCGAGCAATGCTTTTGGATGACAGTTTGACAGATCCTAGAGGACCAAACTTAGCAGAGTGGCCCGCATTTGGATTCATGTGATGTCTGAACAGGGCCCAGAGGTGAGCAGCAACCAACAGGGCTGTTCCATCCACAGCCCCTCCACTAGATGGGTAATCTGATTACGTTTTTGCCCGTATGTTTCCTGAAACACATTTTCAACTGGCAAACAGAAAGAGTAAGCAGGAGAGTTAAAAAGACAGAGGGAAAAACGGCAGTGGAGAAGAAGGAAGGAAGGAAAAGCAAAAGGAACTGCAGGGAAAAGGAACTTCAGAGTAAGCACAGCCTCATTCCTCTTCCCATTGGCAGAAAAGATGGCTAACGCCGTACCATGGGGGTACTTTTTTCCACAGTCACATCCCAGGAATACTCACTTGTATATTAATAGCAGCAGCTGTGAAGTTGTCGGTGTGTATGGAAAAACGTGCTATCCCCTGGTCATCGGTTGTATAGCTGGCCCTGTACTCGGGCGCCATAATAAGAATCTGGACTGTTTCATTGGCCATTGGTGCATCGGTGCCATCCACTAGCTTTACCTAAAGATGCAAAGCCACATGAATGGTGCTGTGATTATATTTATTCGATGGGGCCCAGAGGGCAATGGTGTGGACAGGTGAGTGGTAACAACAACAACAACAATAATAATAGTAATAGTAATAGTAATAATAATAATAGTAATAATAATAATCCTATGGCAGTATGTGTAGGATAACCAGGAGATCCTAAGACTGGCAGCCAAACGTTTTAGCTCTTTTAGCATTACGCACCGCTAGGTGGTGAGGTGGACTTGTTTTTGAGGCAAGAGACATTTCAGAGGTGGTTTTGCCATTGCCTGCCTCTGCATCATGACCCTGGTATTCCTTGGAGGTCGCCCATCCAAATATTAGCCAGGGCTGGCCCTGCTTAGCTTCTGAGATCTGATGGGATCGTGGTAGAGACTGACACCCTGGAAGGCTGCAGCAGGTTTTTGACCCACATGAATATGTGAAGCTGCCTTTTACTGAGCCGGACTCTTGGTCTCTCAAGGTCGCGTGATCCCTTCTCTGACTGGCAGTGGCTCTCCAGGGTCTCAGGAGGAGCTCTTTCACATCACCTGATCCTTATAACAGGAGATGTTGCCTTGCTGGACCCAGGATCGTCTGCCTTGTTCGGATGATGCTCTATCACTGAGTCACAGCCGGTCCCCTGAGGTTGGACAGAGTGCCTGAAGGGCTTTGGTCAGCCAGTCCTGGTGACCCTGTCGTACAAATCTGTACTCCTATATGTGAAGCCACTGAAACACACGTATATAGGCTGGAGTCCAAGTGGAGAGAGACAGCTTTATTGCAGGAGCAGTGTGCTAACGGGCACAAAGGAACTGCTCCACCCACCTGTGGGTAGAGATACATGTATAGCCCTTATGACTTCACAGTGACATGTTAATGTTAGCCCTACCAGATAAGGTTATATACCTGCCAACTGGCGCTTTTTACCTCCTGTTGCTTTACAGTTGGCTCTTAACCATTTACACATAGCGCCTGTGTGTGTCTACATCACCTACGTGTTTCTACATCACCTACGTGTTTCATACGCAGTGCCGTGGTTACATCACTGTTTCCTCTATTACGTGTGTGAGGCTTTGGCTTGCTCGCACATTTAACCCCTGATATTATCTTATGTAATTTGCTACTATCTCATGTGCTCGACTGACTACGCGACCGGTGTATCCCACAACACTGCCGGGGTGCCTTACCTGCCCGAAAAAGGGGATCCCAGGCTTGTAATAAGTGTCCAGTTTTTGGAAGGCAAGTTTGCTGATGACAGCGGTAATTTCAGTGGAACCTTTGCCCAGTAATTCCACTCCTGCCAAAACCAAACAAACAAGCCAGATAACACACCCGTGCACTCACAGGCAAAACCAGCGTGGTAACCAGAAAAGCGTTGTAGTCTTGTTCCTCCCACCGGGTCTGACCTTCCCAGCAACTACTGTTCCTTCCCTCTCGCGCAGCCTTGCTTGGTCCATACCTGTGCCTTCTTCTGTGACCTTGGCTGTCACCTTGATGTCCATCTCATATCCCGATCTGGCCAACTGAAATATATTTGTTTTCACCACCTGGGAGAGGCATCCGTGGGCATCCGCCTGCACAAGAACCCAAACAGCATCAAGTCACCCCTGGTTATCTATTTTGTTTTATTCTATTTATATCCCGCCCTCCCCGCGTACCAGGCTCAGGGTTAGGGTTCCGCCATACAAAATCAACAATCACATAAATCGACAAATAACAGTTAAAACCAATTGAAATACACCAAGATTGAATACAAAGTGTAATTCCGATTCTCCCAACCGGAGCCACAATAGATGAGGTCTAACACAAGTTGGGGGTCCAGGTGGTTACTCAGACCTGGGTCGCTGGAGGGGAGGCTCAATAAGGTGTTATTAACAAAAAATAATAAAAACTTTAAACAAACAAAAAAATAAGGTGCAGACGTCCACCGCCTCAGCTAAAAGCCTGGTGGAAGAGCTCCGTCTTGCAGGCCCTGAGGGAACTGTCAAAGGTACCGCAGGGCCTGGAGCTCATATGGGAGCTCATTCCACCAGGTAGGGGCCAGGGCCGAGAAAGCCCTGGCCCTGGTTGAGGCAAGATGGACGTCCCTGGGGCCAGCGACCACCAGGTGATGCTGGTTTGCAGATCATAGTGTCCTATGAGGCTCATGGGGGAGAGGCGGTCTCAAAGGTATGCGGGCCCCTGGCCATATAAGGCTTTGAAGGTAAGGACCAGCACCTTGAAACGGACCCAGTACTCAATATAATGCATTCACTTTCCAAGTCTTGCCTCATCTAAAATAATACAAGGAGTTGTCCGTTTGTCTGTCCGTCTGCTAGGAGCCTGAACATTGGCCGCCAGTTTCAGGATGACTGTGGGAGATGCAATGCCAAACATGAAGGGAATCGGGCCTTCCTAGGGTTGCCTTCCCCCTCATGGGGGCGGGGGCTCCCCCAATTTTGGGACCCCCCAATTTGCTGGCCAGTGGGCGGAACCCCACCCCCAAAGAGCCCCACCACGCCTGACATGCCTGGCATAATGATGTCACCTGGCGGTGATGTCATTGCACTGGGCACATCGTGCAGGGAATGCTCTAGCACTTGGCCAAAAACTATGGTGACCTGCATGCCTCTGAGCATGTACAGAGTGAAATCCTGAAATACTGCAGAAAGTCCTTTTCTCCACCTCCCATCTCCAAGTTTCTCTTTTGATCAAAAAGGAACTGAAATGACACTAGGGTAAAGCACAACCGTAGGGCAAAGAGGTGTGAAGACAGAATAGGAGTGGGAGGGTTGGCCATCACAGAGCCACCGAGTGGCCGTCTTTCTTTCCTCGGGACAAAAAAGGCCGCCGCTTCAGTCTTCAGACTCACCTTGCCACTGAATTCTTCACAGACGCCCTTTGTTGTTCTGCTGGTACTACAGTAGGATCTGTATTCCTCGTAATTCCGGCAGACCTGAACCTTCACCAGGCCAGGGACTGGCTTCCCGTAGGTGTACCTGTGGCAAGACAAGAGTCCATGGCAGTGAGCACAAGAGAATAACAGGTCCAGGGCGAGGCCAAAGGTCAGTGGAGGAAGAACACTCTCGCGGTCTGCAGGCGTCTCATCTTCCATTGCGAGATCAGAATCGCCCCTCACGCTGCCCCCAGATCACTCAAAGTGGCAATTCCTCCAGCCCCCTGAGTGATGACCCTCTTGCAGAAAAGCTGGAATGACGAGGAGTCCAAGGCTGGTAGCTTTTGGGGAGACAGATCTCCCCCCAAATCCGGTGCCTGGGGCAGCGGCCATTGACGTTCCGTGTCGCCAGTCCTGGGTTGGGAAATTCTTGGAGATTTGGGGGTGGAGCCTGGGGAGGGCGGGGCTTGGCCAGCGGAGAGGCCTCATCAGGGTATAAATACCACAGAGCTCACCCTCCAAAGCAGCCATTTTCTCCAAGGGAACTGATCTCTCTTGTCTGGAGATTAGTTGTCATTCCAGGAGATCTCCAGGCCCCACTGGGAGGTTGGCAACCCTCCGGCGAGTGCTTCGCCCCGTGTGAAATTGGCCTCGGAGGGCCCCGGCCTGGTGGGCAAGGAGGAGGAAGGGAGCCCGGCCTCACTCACCTCCCACAGGCGGTGACTTTCAGCTCCCGGTCCTGAATCGTTATGACCTTGGGTACCTTCACTGAGACCTCAAATTTGGGTAGCACTAGAGAGAGGGAAGACATGACAGCACAGAGGGCAGGGCATTAACACGGCTGTCTCCGACGTCTCTGCGATACGGGAAAGACTCCCCTGTCCTCCTCAGAGGGGCAACAAGACTAAACAACGCCAAATCCCCACTAAGGGGAGCCAAAGAACAGAATCACGAGCCGTAGCCATATTAACCTTCAAAGCCTGGCATAGCCTGGGACCGACATATCTGAAGGACTGCCTCTTCTCATATTTGCCCCGAAGAGACTTGCGCTCACAGGATCAACATCTGCTAGTTACTCCAAGCCCGAAGGACATCCACTTAGCCTAGACCAGGGCCAGGTAGGGTTACCAACCCCCCCGGTTTGACAGGGGTTCCCCGCTTTTGGGGGGAAACCTCGCCCCCAAGCCCCAACACCCACAGCCACCCCTCTCCCTTCTCTGCAGGCCAGGTGCCCAATCTCCGCTTGGAGACCGGGCATGCGGGGAAACGCGAGCTCCCTGCACTTAAAGGGGCCCTGCACTTAAAGGGGCCTGAGCGCGCGTTCAGGCGCGCAGGGCAATCGGGCGTGCAGGTGGGGGGGCAGACATCCCCAACGGGACATCATCACATCGGGGATGCCCCGCCCCCTCTGGGAACGCCCCCCAAAGTCCTTCCTTCCAAAAGGATAAATGGGACTACTTTGAGTCCCAAATGTCTCTCCCATAATCTGTCTAGTGTTTTCCGGCCAACTCCTCAGGAACTATGATGGGTGCTAATACAAGCAATCTCATTTTCCCCTGGAGTTGGCTGAAAACACAATACAAAAAAGTATGGGAAAGAGATGTGGAAGAGAAAGGGAAGAGCTGAATATCAACCAGAGCATCAACGGGTATTTCTGCATATCGGCCTTCTTCTTCTCCAGTTTCCCTGGGTCAAGAGGGATATATGATCCTACCATATTCTTCTACATCGAATGTGTGCTCCACGTTGTTCCCGGAGGCCTTCTGTGCCACCACCTTGTAGAGACCTGGGGTAGGCTCAGACGTGAGTGGGAAGGAGAGCCGGGTGAGGCCGTTCTGGAGCTGCACGTCATGCCACTGGATCAGGCGGTTCCTTTTGGGGTCCTGAAATGGACAGCCAGGTTGGAGGGCCAGAACGGAGGACAGCTGCCGGCCCAAATAGCACAGTGGTCCAATAGTCAACCCCCCCCCCAACATGGCCCCCCTCCAGTCAAAGCTCAAAACCATTTCAATGAGTTCATTAATAAGGGAAAAGAAGAGCCCCTCCTTAACGGCCTTCCCGAGCCCTTCACATCTAAAGTTAATGTTTAGAGCCCTTTCCTTCTCTGTCCCTTTTTTCATCCGATGTACCACACCGAAAGCCTATTTGCTCTAGATAATCTGTCTGCCTCTGAGAGACTCCGCTCAAGGACTGTCTCAGCACCAGAGATGTGAATCCTCACGTGAACGACATGGCCGTTGTTGGGAAGGAGATCCAGTGCTGGTGAGACCGCATACGGAGGACCGATGTAACTGGAAGTTTCCGGAATATCACTTTTTTCGGGCCTCAGCCCTGAACTGCTTATGAGGATGGACTCCTGCCATCCAGCCAGCCTTCCATCATGTTGGCCGCAATGGGTTAGTCAATATTTTTTACAAGTCACCTTTGGCAAGTCACCAGAGGGACTCCCAGGGGTTGCGCCACCCACCCATTTCTGAAGGCCACAGTGTTTTCTGATTCAACGCAGGCAGAATCCTAATGGCTTCCACAGCCCTGCACAAAACGGGATAGAACTAAGAAGTTCAAGCAGTTACCACTGGCAAGCTGCTGAAGGATGGGCTGGAATGTTTTGGAGAGGAAGTGATGTAGGCATGTCAGGGACATTGGGTGGTGATGCTCTGATTTTTGGGCAAAACTCTATGGTAGAATTAGCTACAAATCATAGAGTTTTCAAATTGCCCTCCCCAATGATTCCCCTGAACAAGAAGGAGGAGGAGGAGATTGGATTTATATCCCGCCCTTCACTTGGCTGCTTACAATCTCCTTTCCCTTCCTCTCCCCACAACAGACACCCTGTGAAGTAGGTGGGGCTGAGAGAGCTCTTTCGAGAACTGCCCTTTAGAGAGCAGCTCTGAGAGAGAACTTGTAACTGACCCAAGGTCACACCAGCAGCTGCATGTGGAGGAGTGGGGAATCAAACCCGGTTCTCCCAGATTAAAGTCCACGTTCCTAACCACTACAGCAAACTGGCTCTCCCCCCTCACTTGTAGCACCCCCCTCACTTGTAGTGTCCAATTAGGGCCTTCATTTCAGAGCTAAAGTAAGGCCTCAAGAAGTCTTACTTTGGCTAGAGCCTGATGCTGAACAAAGCCTCTGGAACACCCCCCAGTACCAACAAAGACACTTAACTTGTGCCTGTAACACTCCTTCGTCAGAAGTCACCATTGCGGCGAGGGCATTTACCCACTTACCTGGATGTAAACCAAAGGAAACTGTGGAGAGAAAAACAGACCAATAAATCAGAGACAGGCTGTCAAATGATAAATAGAAGCTACTTGAAAGGACCTGGGGGCTCCCTTCAGCCCCTTCCCCCCCCCCCAACTGCATAAGAGTCGCTTCCGTGTGGTAAACAGTCAGTGGCACAGTTTCCCCCATTAATAGGTACCATTGGAGGGATGCCATAAGGCAAAAGTATGCACTCTACACCTGACTACAGGTGTTTGGACTACCATTAGGGTTGCCAACCTCCAGGTGGGGCCTGGAGATCTCCCAGAATCACCACTGATCTCCAGGCTACAGTGCCCCCAGGAGAAAATGGCTGCTTTGGAAGGTGAATTATATGGCACCATAGCCCACTGAGGCAGCTTTTAAAGAAAACTTGATAAAAATATAAGGGACCATAAAAATTGTCCAAATTAGCAAACTATTAAAATCAGAGCACTGAGAACCCAACCAGAGCATAAATGCTGCACAAAACATTTAGCAGTTTAAAAATGAGTCCCATCAAATAGTTCTCAGGTTAGAAGCAGACTATACACACAGTTTTAGCAGATCAACCCCTTAATCAAATGCCTGGCTAAAAAGAAATAAGCACCAACAGCAAGGGTATATTCCACCAGGTGCCACCACTTAAAAAGCCCCGTTTCTAATTTCCATGGATTTTAAAAAAACCTAGCTCAAAAAGTATTTCTGTGAATCGTTTCTGGACACTGCTGTGATGACGCTTACCTTCTCATTCAGGGGAAGGAAACCTTCACTCAGAGAGATGATTCGGAACAGAACTGAAGACAGAAAGAACATTGGTGTAACTTGTCAGCTTTGCACGTCAGTGTCACAGGGCTCAGGGGTTCAGCACATAGAGGCAGAAGGCCCCCGGTTCAAAAAACCCCTGGCACCTGAACTTAAGAGGATTTAAGGAAGGGACCCGTGTGGACATTCTTAGGTTCCTCGTTCTGGTGTCTCTGCACTCTCTGTCTGGTTTAGGTTGCCTCTGGAGGCTAGAAAGCATCCTCGGAGATACGCATCCAGGCATTACCTAAGGAATAGTGAGGCCACCAAGAAAAAGCTCTGAGGAGGATGCAAGTGGGAACTGTGCCACAGGACCAGACTTATCAAAGGACCGGGTTTTGGTTGTTGTTTTTTTAATAGAAAAGGGATGTAAGTGCACCATTTCCCTGCCTGGGCCGCCTGCTTACCTTTCTGCCCGGGCTTGTAGATGGGCTTGTCTGTTTGGACAAAGGCCAGGCTGTCCAGGTTCTTGACCAACACCATTTTTTGGCTTCTGAACGTGTGCGTGGGCCCTTTCACCACCACGCGGAGGACCACCTGTGAGGAAGCGTTCCATTTGGGAACCTGGAGAAGGAAACAGAAGGAAGGAAGGCAGCAAGACTTCAGATCCTTCAGATCCTTGTTTTATGGGCAAAGTTGCTAACGTGGATTTTGTAAGACCAAATGGCCTCTCAGTGTACAGGGCCAATGCATCTCCGTTTCAAAGCCGAAGAGCCAGCGCTGTCCGAAGACGTTTCCGTGGTCATGGGGCCAGCATGACTAAACACCAAGGCGCATGGAATGCTGTTACCTTCCCACCAAAGTGGGACCTATTTATCTACTTGCAATTTCTTGCTTTCAAACTGCTAGGTTGGCAGGAGCTGGAACTAGAGATGGGAGCTCATTCCATCATGCGGCAACTCGGGTCTCGAACTGCTGAACTACTGACCTTCCACAGCCTGCAGTTCAGCGTCTTAACCACTTGAGCCACCGCAGCTCCTTAGGTCATGCCTATAGAGCTACAATTACCCTTCTAATTTGTCTAAGGGGGGAAAGCTATTATGTTTATGAGCAAAACAGTATAACCGAAGTGTCAAGGGGTAACTTAAGGAAATTGCTTTAAATGCTTCTGAACATAAGTGTGCTTATTCATAGATCCAGGTGGGTGGCTGTGTCGGTCCGTAGCAGGTTTGTTCACTAGAATGAAAACTTTTGGGGGGGGGGGGGGGATCTCCCTGAGCCCTGCAGAGAACTTTTGGCCAGTTCCTGTCTACCATTCTTGGGCAAGGTGCTAGAGCGGGTGGTTGTTTCTCAGCTTCAGGGGTCCTTGAAAGAGATGCCAGAGGGAGGAGGGGCGCTCCTAGTCTATTAGAGAGCTTGGAAATCTTTTCCGTGGCTGGCCCGCAACTGGCAGTTCCACGTGGGACTGCACAGAAGCCATGACGATGAACAAAGTTTGAGTCCGGGGGCACCTTTAAGGCCAACAAAGTTTTATTCAACGTATGAGCTTTCGTGTGCAAGCACACTTCCACGGATACAAGTATCTGAGGAAGTGTTTGTGCACACAAAAGCTCATACACTGAATAAAATGTTGTTGGCCACTGGACTCAAACTTTGTTCTGTGCTTATTCATGTTATATGTTCCTCACGCTAACAATTCATAGACAAATTCATAGATACTAGAATACAATAATACACTCGATTGCCAGTGGAAGGAACCTGGCAATGCCCAATATCATGACATAAAATTACAGGAGACGTCTTGAACATACTTCAGACATGGGGCTGCCTTGAGTTCCTATAAGGTACAAAGGCAGCTAATAAATGATTTAAATAAATAAATGAACAATCAGTTGAGCCCACTGAGTGTCTGCATGGAGATGCTGACTTTTCTTGGCCAATTATCAGGTGATTTCAGATATGAACGGAAGCTGAAAGGGTGCTACTAACTGTGAATGGAATACACCCAAAGAAGTCCTTCTCTGACACCACATTCTGGATCAGGCTCCTGTTCTGTGCTTCATATTCCAAAGTGGCACTCAAAGTAACGGTCTCATTCAAGTGGCTCAAATGGATGCAGATCCTCTCAGAGGTCCCAGCGTGGATCAGGAAAGGCACCATCACTAAGTATTGTCTGCGAAAGAAGACAGACTCTCATCAGAAGTTTAGGGAATGGGCAATTTTTGCTGTGGTACGTTAAGAACAAGTATATGACTTGGGTTGCCAGAGGTATATGACTTGGGTTGCCACCAGCCTCTGCCCCCAGCTGCCAAACAGCTGTCCAGAGAGGGGAACTTACCAGTAGAAAGAAGAAGATCTAGGCCATGTTGCCGGCACCAAACAGGAAGTGATATCATCATGCCAGAGACTTCAAGGCAACACTCTGGTATTTGGGCAGAAACTCTATGGTAAAACTGGCTTCTACCATAGAGTTTTGTCCAAATACTAGAGTGTCAGCCAGAAGTCACTGGCCTGATGGTGTCACGTCCTGTGTGATGCCGGCAACATGGCCTTGGTCATCTTCTTTCTACTGGTAAATCGTCCCCTCCCTCATCTCCTGCCAGTTGTCAGGAGGAACCGGGCAACCCTAGCATGACCTACAAAATTTAAGATAATAATCCCACAGTTATTTTCTTTCCTTAAATGAAAGAGCAAATAAAGATCACCAAGATTGGAATCTGGTGACTTTTATTTTATTTAGAGATTACATTCGTTCAACTTTTGTCTCTAAGTGAATAGGATCCACACCCTGACCTGGATGGCCAAGGCTAACCCAATCTCATCAGATCTCAGAAGCTAAGCAGGGCCTGCTTAGTATTTGGATGGGAGACCACTAATGGAGTCCAGGGTCACTACACTACAACCTCTGAACGTCTATTGTTTTGGAAACCCTATGGGGTCACTATAAATCAGCTGTGAATTGATGGCACTGTTCACCACCAAATAGGATCCTCATGTTTATATAGGGCTTCAAAAACCTACCACTCCTGTTTAAACAACTGTGAGGGGGGTGGGTGAAATGCAGGTATTTGTAGCCTTTGGAAAGAAAGGACTCTCCCAATCTACTATCTCACTACCGTCATTAGAAACATTTTATGGAGAGCTCAGTAAGAGGAACCCTCGGGCTAAGGTAGCACAGAAACTTCTCACATGAATTGCAGTGCAGTTCTAGAACCATAGACGTAAATATGGAGAGGAATAGCTGTGCTACTTTCAGAGCCACACGAAAAAGGAAATTCTGCCCCTTATGCACAATGTTCTAAAGAGAACCTGTGTGCGCGTACATTCGTGGTAGCATTTCTACCTCTTTCCTGACCTACACGCTTTTGTTGGACTGTGCGCATAGGTCTTGGATATGTATGCACATATTAGTGTGATCAGGAACCCTGAAAAAGCAGCCCTTCTTCCTAGACACATAGGGTGCGGTCCGCTTTCAGCCCGCCTCAGAAATGGATTTTATCTGCACAATCACACGGTCAACTTCTGCCTCCCGTCCCTAGCCATTGCTTTCTGGCTCAAAACCACTTTAACCCGGAGTATTTTGATACCGGGTCCCCAAGTGGTGTTTTCCTGATTCTTCGGTTCCAACTGCACTTTTCTGACTTCTGATAGCTCCTCCGGTCTCAAGCCACTTCCGGTTTAAACCCCCTCCCCACTCAAAAACTGCCCAAGGCTTCCGCTTTTTGCCCACCATTTTTTTAAAGCATTGACAATGTGCGCATAGGAGGAGCTCCGCCACCGCGTTATTAAAAACAATGTTTAAATGTTGCCTAGTTTTAGCGTTTAGATGAGTTCGGGATCTCACGGAGGCCATTTTCGGGGTAAACGTTTAAAGGGAAGTGTTCCTTTAAAGTTTAAAGGGAAGTGTTACAGCAGTCAGGTTGAAGTGGAAATCGCTGTTCTGCACACGCGCGAAAAGTTTAGTTCTACAGATGGCTGCCTGTGTGCATGCCCAAAATGAGAGACAGAGAAAAACAACACCAACGCACGCTCCTATGTGTGGACGGCGGGGAGCGATATGGCTGTGCAGCGATCTGGAGCAAGGAGGTGAGTGTGATCGCTATTCTCCAGGTTAAAAAAGACCACATCAGGGCCGGAGCAATTTAAACCGCTCCCAGCACGCCATATGACTGCACCCATATACTGACTTTGTGTGGCGGCTATGGGGTGAGAGAAGGTGGGAAGGCTTAGAGGCGACTGCCTTCTGGACTGAAGAATATCCAATCCCCACACTCTGATCTCTCCTATAGATTTAGTTTTGCCAGGTCCCCTCGTTGTGCTGACAGGGGTATTTGGGGGGTGTTCTGGGACGTCCCCGATGTGATGATGCCACCCGGAAGTGACATCATCATGCTGGGGATGTTGCGCAGGGAAACTCTGGTTTGAGGGGGGAAACTCTATGGTAAAACCGGCTTAAAACCATAGAGTTTTGCCCTCAAACCAGAGTGTCCCCACATTACGTCCCTGGCATGATGATGTCACTTCTGGGTGACATCATCCAGTCAGGGATGTCATGAGGGGATGTGGCTGTTTGAGGGTGGGGTTTCCCCAGCAGCCAGCTGGCCAGTGGTGGGCAGGAGCCCCCCAGACCAGGAGAACCCTCGCCCTGACCTGGGGACTGGCAAACCTATATAGATTCTTTATACCCCAACCACCCACAATCAAATAAAAAGGGGGATAAAAGCTTTAAATAAAAGATAGCGTGTAAGCTATGTGATCCCTAAAGAGACCAAGGCTGTACTTATTTGTGAGGTAAACAGAGATTAAATTTTCTTAGATATTTGACTCGACAGACAAGATCCAGATGGAGATGAACAACAAAGGTTTATTTGACAGAAAATAAATTGTTTTAGGGTAACTGTTATTTATGGAAGACGTTAATATAAGAAGTAAAACTGGCTCTCAAGTAAATAATCCCTGAAGGCAGATTTGACTCCTCATTCTCCACAGTCAGGTTACCTCAGCAGGTTCAAGGCTGCCCTGTTCCCACACAGAGCATTTTCCCACAGAACCTACGCACACCAGTTAGGAATGATGGGCCCTTAACAGGGTACCTATTTGTCACACTTAAAATAAACTTTCTTCCCTAAACTTACCCCTAACTTCAAAAACCCAAATAAAACCCTGGCTAATCCGATGCTCCTTTCCAGAGCCACAAAACCCCTGTCCAAAATGGGGGGGGGGGGGTTTGT